TTATTATGACTATTTTAAATTAACTTGATAAGTTTAAATGACCAGTATAAGAAGTTCGTTAAAAACTATATTAAAAAACTGTAAAAAAAAACCAACAACAACATCATAATACTTTTTAAAAAACTATTTAAATTTTTTTAAATGTGGAGTTACCCTTTAAGCAAATTAAAAACCATTTAATTTAATTATAGGGTAACTCCACATGAAATCACCTAAAAAATAGAAAATTTTGAACCATGGGTCCTTATAATTTCTACAAAAAAAGCTCATTCAAAAATTTGGCCTAAAATGTTAAAAAGTTTCCAAGATATTTCATTTTCAATTTTTACCTAGTTTTGAAAAATTATTTTGCCTAAAAAAATGAGAAATAACAAAGGCAAAAATATGATAATAAACATTTAAAATGCTTTTTTGATGCTGAATTAAATAAATGTAAAAAATGATGAAATATGAAGGGAACATGCCTAAAAGTTAATAAAATAACTAGTTTATATAACCCAACTTTGTAATCTAGTATCTTAAAACCCAGCTAATGAAAATTTTAAAGTAATTTAAGTGTAGTAATATAATAATTTTATTTAAATCAACAGAAAAAGTTCTGATATCTGATAAGCTCTTAGATAAACTTAGAAATTCTTCTTTAAGAGTTAGTATGACTGTTTTTATGACTGCAAATTAAATTCAAAATAAAAATCTTTTAAATTTGATGCATGTTTTTTTCTATAGTGTGAAATATTTGGATTAAAAAGTTAAATAAGTTTTAATCAAAATGTCATGTCATTTCTAAAGCCACCTGTCTGCCATGTCTATCATTTAACAGGGTTATTTGGAGTTTTGTTGAGTATTTCAAATACTTCTTTATCATTATTTTTGTTAAATTCCAGTGTTTTGAGAAAAAATGTCTTGCACACTGACTTCTTAACAGAACTTTTATTATTCAAAAAGGTGAGCTGATGTTGACTTTTTTCTTATCTAAAATATTTGTTTCATTTATGAAATGTCCAGGTATAATAACAGTTTCTATCATTACTGAATATTTAAATTAATCTACAGCGTATGGAATGTTTCTGTATAGCAAAATAAATAATAAATTATTGTTAAAATAATAATAAGTCAAAAAAGCCTCCATAAAATATAATATACATATTTTATCTAACTAATTTCTCCATTCTTCAACAAACTTCATTTTCTCAACTGATACTAATACATGAGTAAAATGAAATGAAATGATGACTGATAATGAAACATGAAAAATGAAACTGATACATGAGTAAAATGAAAGTATAATAAATCTTGTATTATCTAGGGCTGCTTGTAGTACTTTTTGTATTAAGACTTAAGGAGTTAATAAAGTTAATTTTAATATTTGTGTGTGTGTGTGTGTGTGTGTGTGTGTGTGTGTGTGTGTGTGTGTGTGTGTGTGTGTGTGTGTGTGTGTGTGTGTGTGTGTGTGGTTATAAGGATGCTGCCAGAAGTCCTTACAGTCTTATCATAGAACCCAGCGGAAAAGCATTTAACTAGAAAGTTCATGCTTCCTTTCGTACTAATGTTATTTATTGGGTTAGAGCTGGCATCAAAACTTGGACCTCGTGGTTCTGATCGAGAACTCTATCTCAACAACTGCATCACGAAACAAATTTATCATAACATATATTATACAAGATGTACATAACACATAAAGTAGCATAAAACAAAAACATGTATAAATATAACATAAAAATTTTAAAAAATGAATTAAACTCGCACTTAACTATGCTTTGCCAGGTTTTAGCTTTTTTAGCCAATAAGCAGGTAATATTTTTAAAAATTAGTCAAAAATAAGTTTATAACACATCACCAAAATTGGCAGTGTGTTATAAACTTACCTAATAAACTACAAGAATATTTACTTAACAATACTTTTAAAAATTGTTTCGTTTAATTCAAATTTTAGTTTCAAAGTTTGAGTTCAAAGATTGAAGTTTTTGTCTTCATTCATAGGTTCTCAGGTCTTCCGTTCTGTTTTTTGTGTATATTTATTGAATAATTTAATCCAATTTCATTACATACTAAAATCAGGTTCAAGGAATACTACTGCTTCTAGCTTAAACCCTCATTTCATGAAGGTTTAAGGTTTTACAAATTATTGAACTAATACAGCGCAGAGCCACAAAGATACCAGACAAAACTGAAAAACATCTGGACTAAAAGTCCAGATGTTTACAACTTGGCCTAACTTCTCTAGTCCATCATTGTAAACAAGGTGACCTTATTCAAAAATGTAAGAATAATAATAACATCAACATGGCAACTGGCACTTATGTCTTATCACAATTCCACCAAAAGTAAATCACAGAGAGAGACTTCACCATGAAAAATATAGCAACAGTTTAGCTTGTTTTAACTTTTTTAACAACCACATTGTCAATGCATGTAACATCTTACTAGATGAAGTAGTCGATTCTCCCACTGTCAATAGCTTCAAAGTGAGCTTCTATAGGCTCCAATGTTACTACAGCTTTCCTTAGTGGAAGTTGCACATGATAATTTAATAATTTTTAAGAATTTAAGTGTTTTACCAATTATTTTTACTTTTGTTGTAACAAATATATACTGCTACTACTACTACTACTACTACTACTACTACTACTACTACTACTACTACTACTACTACTACTACTACTACTACTACTACTACTACTACTACTACTACTACTGCTGCTGCTGCTGCTTTATATAATTAAAAAGATGCTCAAATAAAAATCCATTGGCATTTTTTTTGTTAATTTAGCATTAAATGCTTACCATTTAGTGCTGAATGACCACACTTTTGCCATAAACTAACAATTTCAATTTTTATCTGCGATATTATTTTCAGTTACAGTAGGATAAACATTTTTCCTAATCTCTGTCACAGCCTCCTTTACACTATCACATGAAGCAGCTTTCATTAAATGTTAATAGGTTAAAGTTGATTTAAACACTAAAGTAGACTTATTAGAGACATATTCAAATTAATGCAATATTGTCTTAAAGCAATATATCATGGTTTATTTCATCATTAATTATATCCTATGCACGTGTTTTAAAAAAATAGCATATGTTTTTTTGCTTTATCTTATACCATGAAATAAAATTCTTTGTTTATTTTTCTCCTTTTTTAAACTTGATCTAACAACATCAAAACATATTTGCTTTATCTCTGATTCAAAAGTAGTTTAGTTGATTATACAAATCCAAGAAAATAAAAAAAGAGAAATAAATTATTTAAAACTTAGGTAATAGATATAAAGCTTATTTAGTTCTTTTATGCCAAATAAACAAAAGCATTTTTTTTTTAAATGCGATTAAATACAAATATTTTCACATATAATTTATTTGTTGCTTTTATTGTTGCATTCTGATTTAAGTACACAGTTTTTTCTTTTAGTTTTGAAAATGAAAAGAAAAAGCGTAAATTAGATGGTGCAAATCTAAACGGTAATAAAAGAATAAAACCTGATAATGGTAAACAACTTTTTAATAAAATTTTATTAAATGTTTTTTAAATGTTTACTTTTGATGATTGGACTGCTTTTTTTATTAACTTGTTGTTTTCTTTTTAATTTTATTTTTTTATTACGTTGTTGTTTATGGTTAAGATGGTTTTATATATATATATATATATATATATATATATATATATAATATATATATATATATATATATATATATATATATATATATATATATATATATATATATAAGAATATTATAAAATATATATATATAAGAATATTATAAAATATATATATATAAGAATATTATAAAATATATATATATAAGAATATTATAATATATATATAAGAATATTATAAATGCATTTTTTATTTCTAATGTGATACTATCACAGTCCTTGGAATCAAGAAAAAGGCATCCATTTATTGACAACCTTTCCCTGTTTTTGATCAACATTAGGTTGGCACAAAGGTTTTCAAAAGTAAAAATCAAAACATTTTAAAAAGAAACAAAAAACTAATAAAACATATCTATATATATATGTATATATATATTTTATAAAAAAAGCTTTGCTAGACAATAATTGTACTTGTCAGAGAACAAACTAATTTTAAAGTTTCAAGTAGTTAGTTTGTCATTAGACTAAATGATATTTTTCAGCACTGGTTGTCATTAAATATTTTTCAACACTGGTTCATTGTTTTTTGACAAGAGTCAAATTCCTGTTTCTTTTTATAACAAATGACTGTTTTGTTAACAAACTTATTTTCTGGCTTCACTGCTATAAGTACATGAATATCTTTTAAGGTTTGATTAGAAAGTGATTAGACAGTTTTATTATATTATCTAGACTTAATGCTAGCTTTTATATAGCATGTATATATTTTATACATACAAAGTTTTTTTCAAATATTCATAGAAAATAGGTCATGCATTCTGAATGACCTATTTTCCTAGTTACTAATTAAAAGTTTTAAAACAGATAATGTGACTAATTAATTTGATAAATTTTAATTTTTTTTTGTCAGGTCAGGTGTATGGTCTTTATGATCACCCTGCTACTGGTAACATGTAACCCAGTGCAACCTGTTCCATGTTCTCCTACCTGGGATTCGCTCTCTAAGCAAAGGCTGGAAAGAGTGTGCTTCCTGTCATCAGTACTATCTAATATCAGTCATGCTTATAGTAAATTTGTTGTTTTGTTTTGTGTGTGTGTCTTTTATATAGTTGGAAGTGCCTTAGTTACTGTGTTAGCTCACCTGTAATTTACTTTATATTATAAAATATCACCTGTAATTTACTTTATATTATAAAATATAATATAAAAAGAATATTATAAATGCATTTTTTATTTCTAATGTGATACTATCACAGTCCTTGGAATCAAGAAAAAGGCATCCATTTATTGACAACCTTTCCCTGTTTTTGATCAACATTAGGTTGGCACAAAGGTTTTCAAAAGTAAAAATCAAAACATTTTAAAAAGAAACAAAAAACTAATAAAACATATCTATATATATATGTATATATATATTTTATAAAAAAAGCTTTGCTAGACAATAATTGTACTTGTCAGAGAACAAACTAATTTTAAAGTTTCAAGTAGTTAGTTTGTCATTAGACTAAATGATATTTTTCAGCACTGGTTGTCATTAAATATTTTTCAACACTGGTTCATTGTTTTTTGACAAGAGTCAAATTCCTGTTTCTTTTTATAACAAATGACTGTTTTGTTAACAAACTTATTTTCTGGCTTCACTGCTATAAGTACATGAATATCTTTTAAGGTTTGATTAGAAAGTGATTAGACAGTTTTATTATATTATCTAGACTTAATGCTAGCTTTTATATAGCATGTATATATTTTATACATACAAAGTTTTTTTCAAATATTCATAGAAAATAGGTCATGCATTCTGAATGACCTATTTTCCTAGTTACTAATTAAAAGTTTTAAAACAGATAATGTGACTAATTAATTTGATAAATTTTAATTTTTTTTTGTCAGGTCAGGTGTATGGTCTTTATGATCACCCTGCTACTGGTAACATGTAACCCAGTGCAACCTGTTCCATGTTCTCCTACCTGGGATTCGCTCTCTAAGCAAAGGCTGGAAAGAGTGTGCTTCCTGTCATCAGTACTATCTAATATCAGTCATGCTTATAGTAAATTTGTTGTTTTGTTTTGTGTGTGTGTCTTTTATATAGTTGGAAGTGCCTTAGTTACTGTGTTAGCTCACCTGTAATTTACTTTATATTATAAAATATCACCTGTAATTTACTTTATATTATAAAATATAATATAAAAAGAATATTATAAATGCATTTTTTATTTCTAATGTGATACTATCACAGTCCTTGGAATCAAGAAAAAGGCATCCATTTATTGACAACCTTTCCCTGTTTTTGATCAACATTAGGTTGGCACAAAGGTTTTCAAAAGTAAAAATCAAAACATTTTAAAAAGAAACAAAAAACTAATAAAACATATCTATATATATATGTATATATATATTTTATAAAAAAAGCTTTGCTAGACAATAATTGTACTTGTCAGAGAACAAACTAATTTTAAAGTTTCAAGTAGTTAGTTTGTCATTAGACTAAATGATATTTTTCAGCACTGGTTGTCATTAAATATTTTTCAACACTGGTTCATTGTTTTTTGACAAGAGTCAAATTCCTGTTTCTTTTTATAACAAATGACTGTTTTGTTAACAAACTTATTTTCTGGCTTCACTGCTATAAGTACATGAATATCTTTTAAGGTTTGATTAGAAAGTGATTAGACAGTTTTATTATATTATCTAGACTTAATGCTAGCTTTTATATAGCATGTATATATTTTATACATACAAAGTTTTTTTCAAATATTCATAGAAAATAGGTCATGCATTCTGAATGACCTATTTTCCTAGTTACTAATTAAAAGTTTTAAAACAGATAATGTGACTAATTAATTTGATAAATTTTAATTTTTTTTTGTCAGGTCAGGTGTATGGTCTTTATGATCACCCTGCTACTGGTAACATGTAACCCAGTGCAACCTGTTCCATGTTCTCCTACCTGGGATTCGCTCTCTAAGCAAAGGCTGGAAAGAGTGTGCTTCCTGTCATCAGTACTATCTAATATCAGTCATGCTTATAGTAAATTTGTTGTTTTGTTTTGTGTGTGTGTCTTTTATATAGTTGGAAGTGCCTTAGTTACTGTGTTAGCTCACCTGTAATTTACTTTATATTATAAAATATCACCTGTAATTTACTTTATATTATAAAATATAATATAAAAAGAATATTATAAATGCATTTTTTATTTCTAATGTGATACTATCACAGTCCTTGGAATCAAGAAAAAGGCATCCATTTATTGACAACCTTTCCCTGTTTTTGATCAACATTAGGTTGGCACAAAGGTTTTCAAAAGTAAAAATCAAAACATTTTAAAAAGAAACAAAAAACTAATAAAACATATCTATATATATATGTATATATATATTTTATAAAAAAAGCTTTGCTAGACAATAATTGTACTTGTCAGAGAACAAACTAATTTTAAAGTTTCAAGTAGTTAGTTTGTCATTAGACTAAATGATATTTTTCAGCACTGGTTGTCATTAAATATTTTTCAACACTGGTTCATTGTTTTTTGACAAGAGTCAAATTCCTGTTTCTTTTTATAACAAATGACTGTTTTGTTAACAAACTTATTTTCTGGCTTCACTGCTATAAGTACATGAATATCTTTTAAGGTTTGATTAGAAAGTGATTAGACAGTTTTATTATATTATCTAGACTTAATGCTAGCTTTTATATAGCATGTATATATTTTATACATACAAAGTTTTTTTCAAATATTCATAGAAAATAGGTCATGCATTCTGAATGACCTATTTTCCTAGTTACTAATTAAAAGTTTTAAAACAGATAATGTGACTAATTAATTTGATAAATTTTAATTTTTTTTTGTCAGGTCAGGTGTATGGTCTTTATGATCACCCTGCTACTGGTAACATGTAACCCAGTGCAACCTGTTCCATGTTCTCCTACCTGGGATTCGCTCTCTAAGCAAAGGCTGGAAAGAGTGTGCTTCCTGTCATCAGTACTATCTAATATCAGTCATGCTTATAGTAAATTTGTTGTTTTGTTTTGTGTGTGTGTCTTTTATATAGTTGGAAGTGCCTTAGTTACTGTGTTAGCTCACCTGTAATTTACTTTATATGTATGTTTGTATTCTGTCTAAAGCTCTTGACCTGGTGTTTGAACCTTTGGCGCGGTGTTTATTTACCAGTTAGTTAATTAATGTATGTTTGTGTTCTGTTTAAATCTCTGATGCAGTGTGAGCTCAGTAACTTACTAGTGACTCTAACTAAAAAACCTATGCTCACCTCTAGTATTTTGTTAGATGTAATGTTTTTCCTATATCATTTCCAAGATATCTTGCCTGATGTTTTAAAGTACTGTTTACTGGAAGTAACTCCTTTTAACTACTCTAGGTCAGGTCAGGTTCAAAATCATCACAATCACCCTGCTATAGGTATCATGTAAACCATTACTACCTATCCCATACCCTGCTGCTTTTTTGAGTGTGTATTTTTTGACAAAGGCTAGGAGAAACAAACTTCAATTTAAAAATCCCCTGGCATGGGGCTCTTGGTTAAGTGAAGGCTAGAAATGTGTCTTGATAAAAATACTTATCTTGGGCAGATATTAACTGCATCCAGCTATAGTCTTGTAAAAAGCCTCCTAGGCAAAGACTTAAGTGGTAAGCATAATAATTCTGCTAATCAGCCTCAAACTCTTTCTTCATCTATTAGGCTGGCATAGATGTAAACCTGTTACATTGTTTCCTGCCTAGGATGGTGAATGCTGGATCTTTTTGACTTTACTTGTAGATTTTTACTTAAGCTGCCTTGATAGTATCTTTGTAACTCTTCCTGTCATCTCCTAATGAGGCTACAGCTCCAAAACTCAGTTTAATGATACTGATGATGGTTGGTAGTAAGGTTCCCCCAACTCTTCGGCAGCTTTCAGAGAGTCCTGTTAATGCTTTTGGTGTGCATTATCGAGGCCATGTAACGCCTATGTTGCAAAGAACTCTCTTGACAATAAACAGCTATTTATTATTGCAAAAAATTAATGTAAAAAGGTGCTGTCTGATGCTAAGCTCCATTATTCTCAGTGTACAAAATCCTGAGCTATAATCTTTAGTTCCATCAACTAAAACTTATTCTCGCTTGACTCATCATTCAGCAAAGTCTCATTCGTTTACTGTATGTAACCCTACATGCTCTAAAAACTTTTCTCATTTAGTTTTTTTTTCTGGCACTTCAATCCTTTGGAACTTTCTCTTATCTTCATGTTTTTCTGACTCTTACAACTTATAAATTTTTATGTCTTCTGTCAACCATTTCTTTGCTCTATGACTCTATGCATTTTTTTCTAGTAACTCCCAACTTAATAGTGGATGCTTGCAGCTTTGTTGGAATCAGAATTAAAAAAAAATGATCATTTTCTATTTTTAGGAGTTTTAATTAAAGATTCTATTTTAAGTATTGTTTTTACCACAAAAATGTAAGTTCTCATTTTTGTTATTGAAGGATAACAATGTGAACTATATTCTTTACATTTAACATGATGTTAACATTAACAGATGTTAACAGTGTTAACAATTTCGGTTAGATTTAATATGATGTAAACATGAATAGATGTTAACAATAAAAACAATATTGGTTGGATTAACAATAAATAATTTAGTTACAATTATTGAAACTAAAAAAATTTCAAGAAACCATCAAAGCAGAACCAAAAATTTTCAAGACAAAAATCTTTTACGCTTTTTTTTTTTTTCATTTTAAAAAATGAACTTAAATAGCATAAGTAAGATTTATTACATGATAAACACACACATTTAAATAAAGCAGGAGATCAAAAAAAATCTTTTCAAAAACATTTAAAATAATTGTTTTTTATAAATTTCTTTATTTTTATTTAAAGTTAAGAAATTAAAAAATATAGAAATACTTTTAGTTACAAAATTTTTTTTCTATTTCTAAAAAATAATTGAACATTACTGGTGATGGTGCCCATTAATAACTGTTATTGTCTTTTTCTTGCTTATGGTTGACCATACCTTCAGCAGTTCTTGCTTATGGTTAACCATGCCTTCAGCAATTCTTGCTCATGGTTGATCATAACTTTAACAATTTCTGTATTGAATTAATACTCTTGCCTGTTTTATGTAAATATCCTTTGCTAATACCGCAATATTTTCGATGGGCCAAAGTTGTCAGCAATTTGGTAAGTTAAGCTTTTTTGGTACAAAATTAACCTTTCTCAATTTATACCACTATAAAGTTTTTTTAGTATAGTGGCACAAAGCTAAATCAGGCCAAAACAAACAAGGTCTAGCATGCGATCAAATGAGTGACAAAAATCGCTTTTGAAGGCACTCTTAATATAAATTTTTGATGTCAAAGTTAATAACATCTACTCTTTTTTCCACAACTACAAATTGCTTGCCATAAGAGCAATATTTTGCCATATTTGTCCACAATTTTGAATTTATGCTTTCACTTTTTTGAATGGTTGCTTTCACTGCCATGAACAATTAAAGTATAATATTTGTCATGAGATGAGATTTTAATAAATTATAATTTAAATTTCTTTTTTATTATGTTTTTTGACAACTAATATCATTACTTGATTATTGTTGATTTTTTAAAATGTGTTAGTAATTTATTTTGAAAGTGGTTTACATTTTTCATTTTTTTTGATCTCATGCTTTACACAAGAAAAAAAAAATTGCCTTTCTTCTATTTTTTTTTATTTGCAAATTCATTGGTGTGGCCTGTACATGAAACAAAAAGAACTCTTAGAGTGAAGAAGCAACTTATAACAAAAATTTATTGGAACCACAGCAGAGCGAAACAAAAAAAAAATGGAACTGATCATAATGAGCTTAACTAGAACAAACTTAGCTGATAGCTTGTGTAGCCCACAAAGTCTGTTTTAGTAAGGGGATTTCACTGCCCTTATGCAATCATATACTCCCGCCAAAGCCTGAATATAAATACATTTTTTTAACATTTTCACTTCCAACAAGACTGTAAGTAACCACTATTAGAGTTGGAGGTTACTGGAAGAGAAAAGATAAAGTTTATAGAGCATATATTATATATATATATATATATATATATATATATATATATATATATATATATATATATATATATATATATATATATATATATAAATTCATAAGTTATTACACCTAATTTAAATTTTAGTCGTGTCGTTAGTTGTCAGTTTTTTTGTAATATTCAAAAATCTTTTGAATTAGTCTTAAAACATTTTTTTATTCGTTTTTTTTAAAAAAAAAAAGAAAGTTTAACACTAAATTTATTTTTACTAGATTTTATTGTTTTTATATATATTTTTATATAAGTATATACGATATATGGAGTAAAACATATGTTACACGTGTTAATTTAGATCCAAATGACCCTGTTATTGATGAGGTATTTGACTGGCAAGTTTATTTACAAAAGACTAACTCAACAGCGGTTCCAAGTACAATCTTTAAACATGTAAAAATATTCATTACTTTTTAAATATTTTTTATGATAATATTTTTAATATATATTTTTATTATATTATAATTATTTATTTTATATGTTTTAATTTAAAATATATATTAGTAGTATTTAAATTTTAAACTTGTTTTTCTAAAATAAGTACTTGCGTCCTGATTTAAAAAAAGAGATTATTGGGCTTTGTTCTCAGCAAGAAAAGGTACTAACTTGATAATAGCTAGGGCCCTAGCTCCCTCTTTTGATATATAATTAGTGTAAATCAAATCCTCAAGTTCAAAAAAGAACAAAGTTCAATCTTCAAGGAAAATAAAGAGATTGTAGAACTTAATTTCACTTGATAATATATATAACAAAATTTATATAAAAATATGATAATAAAATATGAGTTGTTTTAATTTTCTGTTTATAATTGATAAAACAGTTATGTACAATTGATGTACAGAAATAAAAACTCAATTGAAAATAAGTTTTACAAAGTTGTCAGCAACTAATACCTTAACCTTTTATTCCAACTTTTCAGAATAGTAAAAACCCTGATAACACTCTTGAATTATTTTTATTAATGATGAAATTTGGATTTATCAGTCAGGTTAAGAACCTTTAAAGTTTTCTGAGTGTGCACCCAAGGGCATCTACCATTAGATTTTTGAATGAATTTTTTTTTTAATTAAATCTATATATAGACATGTGGAAAAGCTAAAATTTACTTATTGGAAATCTAATTTATCAGAAATTACTTGTTTTTTGTGCACGAATATTAAAAAAAAAGTTTTCGGTAAATAATTTTTACAATACTATTAACTATATAACTTTTTACTATAACAAACGGAAAAGTTGACAACAAAAGACTTACAGTACTGAATGAATTTAGTTTTCATGTCATTATTAATTCTTCCATTCAATCTGCAAAAAGTAAAAATAGGTTCAATTTTCCAAAAAATTTTCCAAAAAAAAAGTAAATATCCAGTTAAAAAGTTTGCAGTTTGGTGTGAGAACCGTTAAAACAATTTTGAATTATTATTAAACATTTGAAAATGCTTTTCAATTATACTGGATGATTACACTTCTTTAAAAAAAGAAGTGTAATCATCTTTCGTTATGGTGAAGTTGGAAAACTGTCCCTAACTGAGCATTAAACGTATAGTTGCCATTAGCATTAAACGTGTAGCTCCCATTCTTAAACAACATTTGGCAGTTTAAAAAGTGCTGTAAAAGAAATCTTTCCAAAAAATCAATACATTGCAAGTAACAAGTAATGAAGATTAAGTCAGCAATGACAAATCTGAATCTGATGCATGTTGACATCAGTGGAATCACCAAGAAAACTGACAAAGTCAGTTGATGAAAACATTCTTATTCCAAAAATGAAAGTAAAGCAATCTTGTAAGCTTGTACAGATATCAAATTTTTAAAATACCTTCAAATTCTATACTTACCAATGAATCCAGATGAATTCATTCAAGAATTGTGTGTGGCTCATAGAATCTTGACAAAAATCCACTTTCACTTAAAGTCAAATTTCAAGATGCAATTCAGCATTCAGGCAAAAAACAGTGCCACAATTCAAATGACAAATTCAAAGCCATTTCATAAGAAATGTTCTATGAAGTTATTGAAAAGAAAACTGCCAATCTTGAACTTTAGTTCAATACACTGAAAATCTCTCCAGCAAGTATTGAGTTTGATCAGATCTTTTCTGTTGCTAAGTTACTTGTGACAAATATTTGATCCAGAATGAATGATGACTTACTTGATACACTTTGTTTCCTCAAAGCTTAGGTATACTTAAGAAAAAAGTTAATATGAGTATTTACATGGCCTACTATAATTACACGGCCAGATATCTTGCTTTTCGGAGCGAAAAATTAGAAGGGTAACCTTTAGACTTTCTTAAGTGTCTTTTAAAATTGTTTATTTAAATATTCATAATATGATTAATACATGTGCTGTAGTTTATTGTAAAACTGGATATAAAAAGAGAGAGAATCAAATTGATGTCATTCCTGAAAAGCATCCACTTTTTGGACTTCAGGAAAATAATCCTGACTTATTTAAACAGTGGGTAGCATTTGTCAATCGAAAGTTATGGAAGCCCAGTAAAAAATTCGGCTATTTGTGCTAAACATTTTGAAGAAAAATATTTAAAAATTGACAAAAGACTAACATTAGTTTGGGATGTAAATCCCGCTCCAACTATTTATTGCTTAACTGAAAAAATACCACCATCAGTATATCAATTTACTGAATTCTAAATGTATATTCCCTGCTTTTCATTTTGTTTCATGATGTTATTGATGTACATGCTGGTGAAATATCATGGAAGTTACTTCATGATGTATATGATAAAGACCTATTACTTCAGTCAAATTTAAAAAAAGGTTTCAAATTATTTTATAAATCACTTCATCCAGGAGATAATAAACAAAGTGTACCACTTGCTCTTGCAATATTTGATCCTTTAACTTCTGCATCTATTGAAAGTTATTTTCCAGATAGGACTGATGCCTCAAGCTTTTTAATGTTGATAAATGTATGGTGGACAATAAATAAAAGAAAGCAAATATATAACAACAATTTTTGTATTGGAAATGCAGCTGTTATGGGTGACATGAAACCTTTATTTTTGAGGAAACTAGCCAAATGGATTGAGAATTGGCAATTATCTCAAGTTTCAAACTCTTAAAAGTTTATATTAAGTAAACAAACATCAGAAGCGTTAAGGACTACTTTAAGATGCACAGCTTCACTTATTGATGATTTAATTCAAGAAGGGTATCATTATTTTTTAGTATCAAGCTTGCAAACTGATCCATTAGAACTAAGATTTTCAAAGTATCGTCAAATGAGTGGTGGCAGATTTTTAATTGGTTTGCGTGAGCTTGAGACATCTGAGTGCATATTAGCTTTGAAAACTTTAATTAAAAAGTCAGTCAATATCTGGGAGGAAGATGTTAGAAAAGAGAGTTGTAATATATCTTTACTTAAATTATTTAATGATAAATTGTAAGAAATTTTACCAGATATTGAAGAACCCAGTTTAGATTCAGAGAGCTTTGAAGTTGCTACAGTTATTTCTGGTTATGTTGTTAAAAAGTTTAATAAAAAGATCAAATACGGTGTTAGCAAAACTTTTCTATTAGCTGAATCTGGTGAGCTACAATGTCAATATTTAGAAAAACTTTCTCGTGGTGGATTAATTTTACCAGCTATTGATCTTACACATTATGTTGCCAAAGCATTTGCAATATTAGATACTGGGTACTTAGATTAAATGATTTGCTTCTTCATTCTTATGCGATGAACATCAAATTATTGGTGTAAAATTTGTAAATCGTGTCGTTGTAAATATTTATTTTAACAATGAACAGAAACACATTTTTGGTGAAATTTGAAAGAACAGTGTATAGGATTTTAAATGCAGACAAAGAAAAAGATTAAAGCTGAACTAGTTAAGTTAATAATCAAATAAGCTGAACTGAATTGAAGTAGCTAATGCTAAATTATACAGCTGAACTATTATACTTTTAATGTATACTCTTCCTTTATTGTTAGGTTTTTGTTTATCATTTTATATATCTTGTTAACATTATTGAGATTTTATTATGAGAAATATATGTGTGTGTGTGTATATATATGTATATATTATATATATATATATATATATATATATATATATATATATATATATATATATATATATATATATATAAATATATATATATATAAAGTCATTACAAATTTAAATACTTTATTATTAATAAAATTATTACAATTTTATATTGATAAACAAAGTACAATATAATATTCTCTTATTCTTAAGTTTTTAGAAACATTATTATCAGGCAAAGGAAAATGTCTAATTTTTGAGACTTAAGTTATATTTGTCTAACAAATTTTATATTATATACACACTTTTGTAAACAAAATCCATATAAAGATTTTATTTTTAATTGCGGTAAGTGTGGCCAATCATGCTATGCGATATATTTATGTTTTGAAAAGTTACCCTTCTAATTTTTTGCTGCGAACAGCAAGATATCTGGCCGTGTAATTATAGTAGGCCATGGTATTTAATATGATTGTTATATTTTTTACAGATTTTACTAATATTTACCTGTAAATATAAAAAGATGGTAAAAGCTTAACCCAATGTTCATATGCTCAGATTATTATAAAACACATTTGTTCAATCTTTTTATTCGTTTAGTGCCGGTATATTTCAACCTCTCCTTATTTTAAAGGAGAAGTTAAAGTTCTAGAAAAAGTAATAAAATATGGTGCAACCAGAGTTCCTTTGTTGATGAATTTCAATTGGAACTTTGTTAATGGTCTTCATACCAAAAGAACAAACAAACAACAAAGGGCATTTAATTTAAGCTGCAAGAATATTAATTCAGCAAAGGAAATATTTTTAGGTATGATTGTGAAATAAAAAAATATTCTCCTTGACACAGTTTCTTATTCAACAGAGTTACTCTTGTTTGAAATATATTACCTTGCAAAAAAGAAACAGCAGAATCGTTATATTTTTTCAAGGCTTTACCTGTGATAGTAGGATAATCCAAACTTACCTAGAGTTAACAATGCTATCTCCATGTGTTTAATCCCACTTTCTTACTTTTAAAAGCAGTCACAGCTTTGACTTCTATCAACTTCTTATCACTACTAACTTTATTTTTTAGTTGTTTGAATATTTATTTTTTTTAATTTTAATTCTTACTTATCTTCAGGTCATCCCAGAATGCATTTGTGGTTTTCAACCTGGCATGAAATTAGAAGTTCCTAACAGAGACTATCTCAAGACATATTGGTTAGCATTTGTGATCAGAAAAGCAGCACCTTTAATACTAGTTCGTTATGAAGGATTTGATGATAGCAAATCAGATTTTTGGCTAAATACTTTGTCAGATGACATTCATCCTGTAGGATGGTGTGCAAGAAATAAACAAGCTTTAAAACCTCCGAAAGGCATGTGTTTTATAAATTCTATAGCATATGTTTACTACTAATTTATAAAAAAAAAAAACTTTAGAAAAAAAGTTCACTTCAAGTATAGTTTGCAGTTTAAAATAATTTTTTTAGAGTATTAGTTTTCGCTTGTATTAGGTTATTAGTTATAGTATATTGTATCGTACATTTTATAAAATATTATCAACTTTTATCTCATCAATAAAGGATACAGTTTTAGTGGAAGATTTAACTAGTTTATTGAAAGTAAACCATTTTATACAGTGTCTCAAAAATATTTGACCAGACAATTTTTAAAATATTTTTACTAAAAAAAAAGTGCTATATTTTTGTAATTTTAGACTTTTGTTAAACTCAAGTTAAATAATAAAAGAACACAAACTCAAGATAAATAATAAAAGAACAGAACAAAAGAACAAAATAAATTTTATTTATTTTGGTATCAAATATCACAAAGTTTTCAGTCTTAAAATAAAGAAACTTAAGTTGTTTTTTTGTCAAAAAAATATTTGGCCAAATACATTTTTTGTTTCATAATAAATTATTAAATAACAAAACAATTATTCTATTATTTTGTAGGGTCTCCTTTTGCTTGGACACAGCCTCCTTTTGATTGGATTACAGCTTCTAGACGTCTAGACATTAATTCAACTAAAGATTTTGCTTCTTCTGGTTGAATCTTTTCCACATTCTTCTTTAATAATCACTTTGATGTTCTCATTTTTTGAAAATGACTGATCTCAAATTTTTTGGTCTAAAATTTCCTAAAAATGCTCTATGGGATTAAAGTCCAGTGATTGCGTGGGCTATTCCAAGACCTCAACATTATTTTCAGCAAACCATTCCTTAGTTTTAGTGGCCGTATGCTTAGTATCATTATCTTGCTGAAATGTAAAATCAGATCCTAGCCCAAGTTTTTAGCAGATGACTTTAATGTTTCTGTATTAAACCTGATCCGTTGTAGTATCAATAAACTGGAGTTTTCCAACACCCTTTTAAGCCCTTGAACCGCATACCATCATGTGAACCACATTCACTATGCTTGACAGTTCCTTGCACACAGCCTAATTTTTAGGCTTCTGATGATTTCATGTGGAATTTGGATTTGCTGCTCCACAGGATCTTTTTCCAGAAACTTATCGGCATGTTTTTGAACTTCTTAGCAAACTCCAATTTTCTTTTCCTGTGTTTCTTACTCAAATATGGTTTATTACGCACAAGTCGTCCTTGAAATCGATGGTCTTGAATATGATTTCTGATTGTCTGGTGGGATAATTTGATTCCATATCCTCTTCAGCTTGCTTAGCCAGTTTTCGAAATAAAATAAAATGTTTTTTTTTTTTTTATTTGTATAATTAAGTTTCTATCAAAACTCTTAGAAGTCTTCTCTTTATGACCCTGCCTGTCTATTGTGGCTGTTATTCCGATCAAATTATACTTCTTCATTATGTCAGATACTGTGTTATGATGAATTCCAGTCTCTCGCTGCACCTGACAAAAGGTTTACCCTGATTAACTAGATCGAGAGCTAAATTTATTTGAGTCAGTAATGTTTACCTCCAGTTATTTTACTAAAAAAAAATAATTTGAGTTTTTTATTATGCTATTTTATTATTTGTATAAAAATTTGTTTAAAAATTTCAACAAATTTCGCATAAAATTATTTAAACTTACCCAAATATTGTTTGGTCTGATAATTTTTTTACAATGCAATACTTAGTTTCTTTTAGGAAAAATAATAAAACAATTGAAGCATGAATCAAAAAATATGCACACTAAATAATATCCTATTTCCAATAGAACTAAAATGACAGACAGAGTAATTACCCTTATTTATTGTTTGTAGTATAATTTAGAGGGTAAACATTTGCTTTTTGAAAAAAGTTGTTTGGTCAGATAATTTTTTGAGACACTGTATATTTACAAACTCCTTAAATTAGCTTAATAAACCTAAATTTTTTACACTTAATTAACTTAAGTATTAAATTAAGTATTATGAACCAAATGATTTAGAAGAAAATTATTTCCCAGTAAATACAATACCTGTTTTAAACGTCTAAAAAACTTATAAGTACGTTTTAATATGTTTTTTAGGCGTGTTTCAAACTTTGAAACTCATTTAAAAAAGGTTTAATAACAGTTTTCCGCTCAATACATGCTAGGTAAAACAGTATTAAACCTTTTTTAAATGAGTTGCAACATGTGTTGTTTAACACGTCTAAAATAATTGTTAACTTATATTTGGAAGACTTATATTTTAGAATTCATTAATAGCAATTAACAATAATTACTAATGGTATAATAGTTATTAAAAATTTATTATTTTTAAAGATTATCTAATTCAAACTATTACATATACTTAGAATATTTGGTTTGGAGAACTTAAAAATAAACCAAACAAGGGCATTTTATGCATTTTAAAGTACTTAAGGTATGCTTAAAGTTTTTTCAAAAGCATGGTATTTTTGTTGTTTGTTTTCTTCCAGATTTTCTAAAAGTATTATTAAAAACTCAGCATCTTCCTAATTTACTTTTGACATAAGTATATTAACTAGTTATTTATATAATCTTTCTAAAACTCATCTAGTTATTTTAACCTAGTGCCGTGCAGACCTATTTGGGGCCCCTGGCAGACTTTTTTGTGGGGCCTCGAACCACAATTTTTTTTACCGATTTTAATGTATATTATTATAATGTAGTATTATTATTGTATTTAAGAAAAACTTTTACAACTTGACATATTCTTCCAACTTTACAATGCAATCTTTCTGGCTATAATTATTGCAAACTCTTTTATCATATCCTCATACTTTAGACTAGTGCTTATCTCATGCTCATTGCTCAGTAATGCTAGCCCATTGAGTCGCTTTTATAACATGGTGGTCCTCAAATATGTCTCAATCAATTTCAGTTTGAAGAAAGATCTTTTCAGTAGAATTCGAATTGCTATACAAAGGTAAGGGTATAACTCTGTAATGTTTTTCTTGGTAATTATATTGAAGTACTTCAATTGGTGATGTCACATCAACTGGTAGTAAGTTGATAATATTCAAAATTTCTGTGAAAAGTTCTTGGCTGTCAATATCACCTCTTCCCTTTCTATCGAGTTTTGTTTTCAATTCTTCACAACTAGTCCTTAACCCTTCTTTATCAACAGTCTTAATATTAAAAAGAAATCCAAATGTTCTGCACAAATGATTCAGTTCAGTGAATTGTTAATCCAACCTATGTATGGCTACTTCTATTTCCTCATTGAAGAAGTTAATCCGTAAATTTTCCATTGGTGTATTTGTTCAGTTGATTCGTAGAGAGATTGTTTTTTGTTCTTTCTCATTCAAAATTGAGGCAGTTCAGTATCAATTTCACTGCAATTTTCTGAGCTTCAAGTAACAAACTGTCAAAATTATTAGAGCACTGATAGCTACAGTTATTGATATATTGCATAGCTAATTGAAGGTCCATTTTTTCAGACTGCAAGTACTTGCTTGCAATAATAATCTACAGCAGGAGTTCATACCATATGTCTTATGCTATCAAACTTTGCCAATAACTCCACTAGGCGAAGAAAGTTTTCATTCCCATGGGCAAAAAGCGTTTCTGCATTGCCAAGAAAAACCAAATTGTTTTTTGCCAAATATTGAATAATTCCCACAATTCTCTCAATTCCTGATCGCCAGTATTGCTTTTTTTGCTGAAAGATACTCTGATTCTGTTTATCGATTGTACTGTTTGCTTTCAAGCGACTTTCCAGCTCCTTCCATTTTATCCAGGAATTGTTGTGCTCTTGTGAACAATCATGCTTACTTAACATGGAATAAATGTTTTTCCAATCATGAAGGCCACTGGTACTAAGTTTTTGTTTATCGACACTAAACAACTTGCAGCAGAAACAGTATACAGCATCTGCATTTTTTGAGTATACAAGCCATGATCTTGTTATGGTTTGATCATTTGTCAGGAATCTATTGTAGTTTGAAGTACAAAATTTTTGTTTTGCTTTGGAATAGGAAAAGCAACTCAAAATTGGTCCTGATAGAACTAATTGTTTTCGGAGATGAGACAAATAATCAGGCCAGTTTTCAGGATCTGAAGAAATCTCTTGAAGCTCAACCTCAGCAATTTTTGTTGGAATCAGTTCCCTTGATGTTTTAATTGATGCAGGTTCTGTCGAAGGGTTTGGCACAAAAATATTGTCTTCGCCATTTTCATTAATTCCTGCTGCTGCATCATTAACTGCCCATGTTAGAGATTTTTAAATAGGCAAAACTTGGTTTTCATGTTGTGGTTGTGTTAAAAATGAACTAATTTTTGGCAAAAGTTTAACCTTTTTCTCATCCTCTTGCTTTTTCTTATGTTTGCTAAATCCACTTGCAAAATTTTGACTCATTCTCAAAGTCTACAGTTTTTAGCACAAGATATTACATTACACAATTTTCGACATGTTCTGTATCATTGACTGTATCATAGGCATACTGAGAGTAATAAACTTTGTGTTAGTCTCTCTAATTTTACCAAGAGTGAGCAGCATTGATGCACAAAGAAGAGCACAAGCATAGTATTACATTGAGCAATGCTGTAATGGTCTCTGCTTCGAACACATTTACTGTAAAATTGGACGAATATTTCGTAAATTAAATTTCAAATTTTTAAATGTTTTTTTATTTCAAAATTTTTAAAAATTTTGAAGCTTCTTCGGAGGCCCTTGGACATCAGGGGCCCCAGGCAGCTGCTTGGTTTACCTATTAGTAGGCATGACCCTATATCAACCAGTTGTTTGTATAACCAATTTTTGCCCAATCATTTGAATATTTATACAATCGTTAAAATATTCATCAAATTAAAGCATTACCTTTTGACCAGAGCAGTTGCTTTTGTGCAGAAAGGTATGATGGCAAAATAACTCTACTAGTGCTAGAAGAGTTATTTTGTTTATTGTTATTTTCATTGTCACTCAGACAATTAAAAAACTGTTTAATTAAGTACAGGTAGTTTTTTTTTAATTTAATTAAGTACAGGTAGTTTAAGTTAAATGAGTAGAATAAATTATAAGTTGATTATTTTTTAGAAGATTAATTTAATGGACAAGGAGATTAGTTTTTTGTTATATGTAGATTTTTTTTTTCCAGCTATTCAACATAAAGAAAGTAACTGGTATCAATATCTCATTAAAAATCTTACTGGCGCACGCAAAGCTGCTGATCATCTTTTTCACAAAGTATGATCTTTTCAAAGTAATATTATTTATCTCTTTTTGTTAATGAAAACTTAGGTTATTAAATGAAAAATTAAAGTTCTTTTCTCAATATTTCTTATTTCTTAGTTTTAATATGTATCTTTAGTGCTGGTCTCAATATTATCTTTAGTGCTGGTCTCAATAAGTGGTATCTCGAAGAGGTAGTAAACTAGTGGTAAAACTGTTGGCACATAATCCAGAGGTTTGAGGTTCGAACTTCACCCTATGCCTCTGGAAATACCACTCAAAATCTGTTTCTTAATGCAGCAGCCTTGTTTAGCAAGGTTTGTTTTTCGGAGGTTAGGGTTGACAAAGTTACAAATAAAGTGATAATAAATATAGTAGTGATTCCCTCCTAAGCCTTGAAGAGATGAATTAATAATGTATATATATATATATATATATATATATATATATATATATATATATATATATATATATATATATATATATATATATATATATATATATATATATACACACACACATTATTAATGTCAATGCGCACTTATCAATCTTGCCAATCTTTGAAAAATTTTTCAGCACATTTATGACAATTTGCACTTATGCCAGTTTTTACAACTGCTTCGCGCTTATGATAGTTCACACTTATGCCAATATTTTCAACTTCTTTCAGCCCACTTATGCTAGTTTGCATTTATACCACTTATACCAATGTTTTCAAATTCTTTCAGCACACTTACACCAGTTCGCACTTATGCAGATTTATTTTGCACTTAAATAGTTGCCCCAACAAAATGTTTAAAAAAAGATTTCTCTTAATTACTAAAAGGTGGTTTATTTGTTATAATATATAATTGTTATAAATATTAATGAGAACTTTCTGTTTAAAAATACTATATTTATATGTTTTATCATAATTGTAGTATGATTTTTTAATAAAGTGAGAAAGTGTTTATTTTTTAAGAAACTTAAGTCCTTCACTGTATTTTTATTTTTATGTATTATTTTATATTAATAACTTTTTCATCATAAGGTTGTAAAAACTTTTTCATCATAAAGTTGTTATACATTTAAAGGATATTAATATTGCAATGGCCTTTATTGACATAATGCACATTTATTATAATAGGTTTTGCACTTCAATATGCTCTTAAGTAGCTTATTTTTTTTTACAGCAATCAGCTGCTTTGTATATAGTGTCTTAGAATATATTGCTTTTTTGTACTTATTATTTATTAACTTACTGAGGAAGACATTTCGTCAGTTTAGAACCAAGTGGCCATATGTCAATTTTTTGTGTTTCCAAGAAAATTAAGTTTTAAAATTTAATTTCTAAAGAATTTCTGCCAGAATGCTTGACTTTTTTTTTAAATATTTATAAAAGTTGTATTATTCTTGAGACTAGATTTATTGGACACATACTACGTTGATTGTTGAGTATTTATTAATAATAACAGAAATAACACAAAATGTGGACATACGGCCTCTTGGTTCTCGGCTAACAATTTGTAGAACTTATTTTTTTCAACTTAATATATAAAAAAAGAACTTACTTGAAATGGCATCAAATTTCTTGTAGTTTGCAAAAAAAATTTTCCTTCTCTAACTTTTTTATCTCTTTCCATACATGTTATAACTTTTTTTTTTTTAACTTAAGTTATATTGTTATTATAATTATTAAAGTATTGTATGTTTGTAAAACCTTTTTGAAATTTGGAAAAAAAAAATTGTCTTGAAATTTTTAAGTAATTTTTTTTATCTTATTTAAAAATAAAAATATTTTTTAATTACTACTGTACTCTGGAATACATACATCCCTCATTTTAGGCTTTTTTGTTAGTTATTAAGAATAAAACAAAGGTTATAATTAGTAATTTTAAATAGATACTTGTATTTTGGTCAAAATATTTTCCATTTTTACAATATATCTATGTTTTAGTAACTTTAAACACAATTAAAAAATTTGTTAATACTATTACTAGTTTATATATTTAAATGTATTTTAGAAATCGCATCCAGCTCATTATTTGTGTGCTGGGCAATATGTAGAAGTACTTGATTTAATCAACCCAAATTGTTACTGGTTAGCTAGAATTACTGAAGCTTTTTCTGGTCGTTTGAGTTTACAATATGAAGGTGTTGTTGATAAAGAAGGAGAATTATGGTGTTATTACTTAAATCCCAATATAAGGCCTGTAGGTCATGGTTTTTCAAATGGCTTAACCCTTTATCCACCTAAAGGTATTTTTATAATTAAATTTGTGTTTTGAGTTTTGTTAAAAAATATTTTATTTATAATATTCTTTATAAAGGTGAAATATATCATGTTCAAAAGGAACATATGAAATGGCATTTATCTTAGAAAGACCTTTTCGAGAAAAAATGATTTTTTTCACTATATTTTGAAAATTCCACACTATAATTTTTTATTTACTTTATGGTTTCTCAAATTAAATTCTTTAATTAATTGTCTGATTAAAATGTTAACTTATAAACTTTAGGCACTTTTAGATATTAGCATTTTTCATAATAAAATGCAACCATTATGTAACATCTGCTTCAAAAAAAAAGTAGAAATTTGTGTACAAAAAAATTTGTTACATAAATTGCTTTTAGGCATAAAACAATGTTTCAAACAAGGTTTACATATATGCCAGTAAAATAAATATAAAAGAGTAACAAGCCTGGTCAACAGATAGCTTGCTAGCAAGCGCACCTTAGCATAATTGCTTTTTTTTGTGCGCTTGTTTTCTTGCAAAATATATATATATATATTTTTGCATAACAAATTTCCCTACAAACACTTAACCATAACAAAGGCTTTATAAAAGTAAAAAAAAGTTATCAGACCTGAGTTTATTTTGATGATACAATGCTATAATTTTAATTATAAAAATAAATCCCATTCACTTTTCAAAATTTTTTCAGTTTTACTAAAAATAATAATTAAGTGAAATAAATTATTAAAACATAATTATATGTGTATACATGTGTAGTGTATAAATAAATAGTTCTATATGTGTATATTTGGATAGTTCTGTTTGTGTATATGTGTACATTTGTATGTTTATTCTATATGTGAAGTACATTTAAATTTACACATTTATATACAGTTATTATATATTATATGATACTGTATATATTATGCACAAATATATACAGTTTAAGGGCAGTTACTTATTTTGCTATAAATTTTGAACGACACAATCAATATTCTTGAAAACAACATGAACGTGGCCATATAATGAAGTGTCTAAAAAAGAAAATAAGCCTCTTTTAAGATAAAGGTGTGCAAGGAAAATATCTCTAACAGGTTTACAATATTCTTTTAACTGTTCAGATACTAACACTGAATCTAAAAAGACGCTTTCCATTGTCTGTGCAATTCTGAGCAAATTTCAATGCGGAATGGATGTCAAAACTCTGAAAGCTCTTTGTTTTATAAGAGGGTAATTTCATAGAATAAAATAAAAAAGATAAAAGTTTTTTCTAATAGATCAATAAGTTTACATGATCTTCAAATTCTTTGTGATTTGTAAATTTACTTCGTTTAAAAAAAAAAACAACTCCAAAACACAAACCTTGCTAAACAATGCACCTGCACGGAGAAACAAGTTGAGCACGGTACAACAAGCTTCAAGTTTGATCCTCACCATATGCGTGATATGCACCTCACCATATCACCATATGCACCTCACCATGGTGAGGATCAAACTTGAAGCTTGTTGCTTAAAAAGCAACAAGCTCTAATGCTACACGACTGCCACATTATATATATATATATATATATATATATATATATATATATATATATATATATATATATATATATATATATATATATATATATATATATAAATATATATATATATATATATATATATATATATATATATATATATATATATATATATATATATATATATATATATATATATATATATATATATATATATATATCGGGTGGACATGGAAAAATCCGGTCAACTTTTATTTGAGATTTCTCCAAAACCACAAATGCTTTTTATTTAATTTCTTTTTTTAATTAAACTTTACTTCCTTATCTTAAATGGTGTTGATAAATTTTTGTTTACAAATTAATGATTTGCAAAATGTTTTGTAAACAAATTGAGGTGCGTAAAAAAATTTTGAATTTTTTTTGCAAAAATCTATCCACTTCAATCTCTTGATTGCTAAATGCAAAAATGTCCTAAAATCTACAGTCTTAGATATTATAAACAAGTTCAAGACTACTCAAAGCTTCGAAAGAAAACTTGGAAGTGGAAGAAAAAAACTTTCCATAGATCCAAAAAGGTAAAGTCGATTTTACGTTCAATAGCAAGAAATCCAACAAAGTCACAGCGAGATCTAGCAAGAAAATTCAAGACTTCTCGTTCTTATATCAAAAAAGTACTTAGAAATGCTGGAATTAAAGCATTTCATAAAAAAAATACACCTAAGAGAAGCTTAAAGTGTGAAATTAAAGGAATTTGACGCGCAAAGAAGTTGGTTAAAATAATGGCGGATAAAAATATGTGCATAATTGAAGACGACGAAACGTATTGCAAGGCGGATTTTTCACAACTTTCTGGTCAACAGTTTTACTATGAAAACAAAGATAAACCTGTTGATGATGAATTTAAATATATTCAATGAGAAAAATTTGCATCCAAGTTCCTTGTGTTGCAAGCAATTTGTAGCTGTGGTATGCAGTCCTCTTATTTTGTCACTAAAAAGACCTTGACTGCCAATCTCTACATCAAAGAATGCCTCCAAAAAAGACTTTTGCCTTTTATAAAAAAACACAAATACCGATGTCTCTTTTGGCCCAATCTTGCTGCCTCTCACTATTCTAAAAAAGTTCTACAGTGGTGCAAAGATAATAATGTAAAAATTGTTCCTAAAGATGCGAATCCTCCAAATCATCCTGAAGAGCGCAAGATTGAAGATTTTTGGGCAATAGTTAAAGGAGTTCTTTGTAACACAGGTGGAGTAACAAATAATAAAAAGGACTTCCAAAAAAAGTGGATAAATGCCACCAATATGGTGAAAAAAAGAAAAATCTGTGAAATGATGGCATCAACCCGCTATAAAGTTCGATTTCTTGCCAAACAACCCATTAAGCCCCTTAAAATTAAGTTAAAACTTTGATGTAAGCACATTTAATAATTTAAAATTGAAATAAAAAGCATTCATGGTTTTAGAGAAATCTCAATTTAAAGTTGACCAAATTTTTCCGTGTCCACCCGATATATATATATATATATATATATATATATATATATATATATATATATATATATATATATATATATGTACATACATATATATATATATATATATATATATATATATATATATATATTTGTGTGTATATATATATATATATATATATATATATATATATATATATATATATATATATATATATATATATATATATATATATATATATATATATATATATATATATATATATATATATATATATATATATATATATATTTGTATATATGTATATTATTTTTCTTGCATATAGTTTTTATAACTTTTATTTTTCTTAATGGCATTTTGTCTCAAACAATAGTAAAAATTACCTAGGTTGTCAAAATCTCACGCAGCAACAAATAAGTAAAGTTGTTGAGAAGCTTCTTGTACTTTCCAGTCGGAGTGACAACTCAGTATTTAAAACATTGTTCAAGGTATATTTCTCTTTGTTTTTTAACTAGATTTTTTAGATAAAAAGTGTCATGTGTTGTGTAGCGCTTTATTTTGTTGTGAACTTTTTATAAGTCATCTTGTAGAATGTTCTAATAATGACAGGGCCTATTCTAGCAAAAAAATTTGGGCAACGGTACCCCTCTTTTCCTGATTAAACTTAGCAGAAAATTGGCGTTTTTTTGCAAAAAAAAACCATATTTGCCATAAAAAGGATTTAAAAAAAAAAGGTCGTCAAATTTTAATTTGGTGGCACCCAAATGCGGTCGACACTGTCCAAAATGGTCTAGAATAGCCCCTAAATGATTATAACAATAGTAATAATAAATAATAGTAATAACAATGATAATAATAATAGTAATAAATAATACAGTAGTAACTTATCCTTTAAATAATTAAATATTTTTTGCTTACTATATCAATTTTTATATTTTTCATTATTTAATTGTTAATCTATTTATTTCAAGAATTGTTATTATTTAATTTAACTGCATTTTATAAGTGTTCCAAAATTAATGTATATATTTCAAAAATTTAGTTCCAAAATTAATGGTTCTGCTACCATAGCTACGATTGCTAATCTAGATACCTTATGCCTAAAGAAATATAAAAACGAACCACATGATAGTTAAAGATTAAGTTTTCCTATTTGAAACTTTAGGATTCATATATATATATATATATATATATATATATATATATATATATATATATATATATATATATATATATATATATATATATATATATATATATATATATATATATATATATATATATATATATATATATATATATATATATATATATATATATATATATATATATATATATATATATATATATATATATATATATATATATATATATATATACATATATATATATATATATATATATATATATATATATATATATATATATATATATATATATATATATATATATATATATATATATATATATATATATTAGGGTGGCCCTTAAAACAACTTTTTTGAGAAAAACCTGCTCCCACCCCCTAAATGTGTTCTATCTTATACAAAAACACTTGGTTTAAAATTTTTTGGAATAAAAAATATTTTAAGGGGTTCCTCAAGACCCTCGAATATTTAATGGGTCCCTAATATTTTCAAAAAAAAGTATTTAAAAAATATGTCAACCTGGTACTCAAATGAAGCGAAATCATATAAAAATAATAACTTATCAAAATTATCATAAAAAAAACATAAAAAATGCATTTTTTTCATTTTTTGTTAAAAAAGATAATTTTTTGGGTAAAAGTTAAAAATAACAATTTTTTTCAAAATAAATGTAGTTTTTGAAATTTTTATATGATTTTCCTTCATTTGACACGGCTGTTTCAAACCGAGCTTAACGGCTTCTTGTTAATTTTTGAAAATATTGACTAAAGGGGTGTTACTAAAACTTTTATAACTTTTGAAACATAAGAGGTAATTTTGTTTTGTAAAAACAATTAAGACATCAATAAAATGTTTTACCTTATAACATTTAATGCATTAGTAGAAAAACTTCTTTTAGTTTAGAATAAATATGACATATATTGAATTTGGCTAAATTTTTGTAATTTGATGTTACTTTTTATCAAAAAAAAATTAGAAAAATATATTCCTAATAGTTATTATCAAATACACTTATTGTTTGACAATAATGAAAACAAAAAAACCTTACTTAATTATTTAAGGTTAACTAAAACAGCCTTAATCGAATTGTGAAAGCAAACCACATTTTTCGCAAAATTATGAAAAACGTTGTTATAAGGGGGGATTAGTTGTTAAATGAGTACTTTTTTTAATATAGAAGTTCTTGATTTAGAAAATTATTTTGGAACGCTGATAAAATCATTACATTACAAAATAAAGTTCTAATAATATGGTGTTAGGTAGTTAATAAATAAAAACTCATCAATTCTAATAAAATAATTCATGACCAAAATTGAGTTAAAGGTTTTGAATTAACCTAGCTTTTGGTAGTAGAATTATTTTATGGTACTTGTATCAATAATCTCTTCTCACAAAAAATAAAGTGTTTAAATATACACAAATAGCTGATTTAAATCTTTTGATAATTCGTTTTTATTTTCATTAAAAACTGTTTTATAATTAGTTGGTCCATTGATAAGTTCTTCAAGCAGTAAACTATCTTTGAACACCCAGATGATACTAGACTCATACATAATTCATTTAAAACCAGAAGAACATTTGGTCAACTTGGCAATTGTGATAATAAAGTTTACAACTTCTTAATTTATCAAGCTAAATTTTTACACCAACTTGATAAATGAGACTTATATTTCATTCTTTAACTAGAGAGGAGGTATGTAGAGCAGAGGTCCTGCGAAGGTAGAACTAACTTTTGATGATAAAAATTGAACGGAGATCTAATATATATAAAAAATGTTACATATTACATAACAAAGGATAAAACGTTTTTTGATTTAACTACATAAACATACAAAATCATATCCAACAAACATACCAGTTGCTCTGATCACAAATTAAAATAGTTAGCTATACATTTGATGCTAGACTTTTATTCCATTCTTTAACCTGAGCAAAGGCATTGCATAGATATAATAAACTTTTGAAAATAGGAACAGAATGGGCATCTACCTAATATATAAAATCATTGTAATAAAAAATTATTATTATTTTGAACAAACATTACAGGCATTAAAACAGAATAGAATTCTTTTATTTGTAAATTAAGGATCTTATATAATTTATCTTAGATGTAAAAAGTTTAATTTTTTTTTTAACTTTTCAAACATTTAAACTAAATTTGATGACCACAAACAAGACAAAGACCTTGTCTATAAAATGAATTTTCGCCACGCTCTGAACACACAACACACTTTCTCACCTTAGAGGCTTGAAGCTTCCTATCAGCTTTGCTGTGCAATTCAAAGCGTTTTAAAACAAGATGCAGCTTTTGCTCCTGATTTCTAACTGAATGCAACTGCCTTAATTCCTTATTTACGCTATTATGCAAACACTCTCCCTCCTCTTTACTCAGCAACCCAATAGTTTTATGCAATTTTACAAATAGTGGCACATTGAAAATGAGTTCATGCATTTTTCGCGTGATACTTTCTTTTGGAAAGCAAGCATGAAACTCAATAGCAAATAAATTTATATATTGATGAAGCTCAGAAATTTCGGCATCAGAAAGAAATTTTCGCTTAAAAAGAATAGGTTGCAAGTTATTAAAAACACTAAACACACGTACAAATCTATTTTTAATTGCTTCATCATCAATAACACTACAAAGTTTATAGTGGTTTCTTAATACTATTTTACAATGATTACCTACAAATACATTACCATGGTAAGCTTGTCGCTCAACTTTCATATCTTCAAGGGCCTTATAAAGAGACCTCTCATGAGTCCCCATGCTACTTATAGATATTTTTTCTAGGTCTTCACACTCTATCTGCAATCGAATATACTCAACGTCTAAAACTTCGCGCTGTGCGCGTATAAAAGAAATTTTTTCAGAAATATAAAGGTCAAGACATTCTAAATCTTCACCCTGACATGCTAAACACTCATACTTCTCTATATCACACAATACATTCTTTTCCGAACCACCAATAATTTCACAAAATTGATGGAACAATTTTTGGCACGTACCACACTGCACCCAATCAATGTTACAATCATATTTAGTAATTAAACACCTGATACTAGCACACTTTTCTTGCTGTTTACAGGTTTTTTTTTTATTGGAGGAGTTTAGAGATATGCATTTCAATTCAGAAATATTTTTATCAAAAGCTAACCAACGAGTCTGTAGATTTGCAACGTCTACAAATTGATTTCCTAATAAACGTAAAGAGTCTGCTGTTTTAGAACATTCAAAGCTTTTAGCAGCCCACAATTCATTCGTTCTCACATTCTCATTATGCGACAAAGACGAAACAGCTTGACAATCCAAAGTCTTACACTCCTTCAACAATAACTTATAAAGTTTTAACACAACTCCTAACATAATATGCAAAACAGGTGGCACTACATTATCTAAAGTTATTATGGGGAAAATCACAGGAGCAATAATTGAATTATGAAACTTACCTAGAGCTCTTAGGTTTCCACCTTGTCTATCTTCACACAAGTTCTCATTGTAAGCACTTTCCAGAGATTGTATTGTCCTCCTTAAGATGTTACAATTAGCAGGTGTGTGAGGCATAGAAGCATGGTTTCTTAGAGAATTCAACTTAACTAGGTCTGTAGAACTAGGAAAGCTAGCAGCTGAACCCTGGTGTCCCAGAACATCATCGATAAAATGAAAATCTCCACCTAAGAACAACCTGACTATTTTGCCTTTTAGCTTAAAATCTGACGACTGAATTCTTTTAATGTCGTTGGCATAATGCCCGAGAACTAAGGCAATATTCTCACGACAGTCTGAACCCTGATACATACAAAATAAATGAACATCATATACAGACCCTGATGATTTAGAATTGACAACTTCAAAATGGAATTTCATATACTTCCCACCCTTATCCCCAGCAAAAAGGAGCCATACCTCTTCGCAAAAACCGACATCAGAATTGAAGTGGTCACGAACGTGCAGACTATTGAAAACCTCTTCAATATAAGTTATCAAATTCTTGACCATCAATACAGGTACTAAACAAGGTGCTTCATTCGCAGATGGATAAAGCAACATGGACTTTACAGTAACATGTTCTTTACTAACATGCATTGTCCGCATTTCTTGTTCTTGTCTTATCTTGGGCTCAGATGGGAGAATCCTTGCACCAAGATTACACAGAATACGTCTTAGCCTACGGAATTCAGCCGTGGGCATCCTTAATTGGCTCTGCAGCTCTACAGCATCAGAAACACTTAACTGCCTAACTAAACCCAACTTATTTGCAACACAATGAAACATAGACTTTTCACAAGACACAGAATCACAAAACAACATAGACAAATCACTTTCCAAATCTGAACAAGCTAATAATCGAAGGAATATAAAAGCAAGTTTAGATCGTCTAGCTGCAGCATGCCTACCTAACTTAGAATAAGATTTACCATCTCCTAACTTAATGTAAGTATATTTCTTACCAACTATTGGCTTTTTAACTGATATAGTCTGTGGATTACTTAATTTAAACCCACAGAATAATTCAGAGGAACCAATGTTGTCATAGTCTAAATAAGAATCAACGACAACTAAATCCTTATCACTGCTAGCAAAATATTTGCAAATTTGGCAACTGTTCTTGTTTATATCACTGATTTTTGCATTTTTTTTTTCAAATTTAAATTTTTTTAGCAATCTTACATTTTCGGCACGAGCAGATGCAAATTTACGGTGTGCTGTTTTTAATTTTTTTTTTTTTAAAAGTTGGAACTGCTCCTCCTGTTTTAGCCTAATACTCATAGTCTCTAATTGAGAACTTAATGAGTTACAATGTGCGTTGAGAGCCTTGTTTTTAGAATTTAAATATATAACTTCAGTTTCCAACTTTGATACCTGTATTTTTAAATTATCTATTTGCTCCACATTATTTTTTTCTTTAGAAATTAATTGTTCAACTTGACTACTTAGTTCTTTATTCCTATTTAAAATATAAAAATTATCTGCATCTGCTGATTTTTTTTGTTTTTTTGTTTGTGGAGCTGGAGACAGTTGCATTTTAAAAAATGCTTTGTTTTTTGAAGCTTCAAAATACTTTTTAGAATCTTTTTTTCTTTGTTTTATTTTTCGGCACATTTTATTTAACACATCAATATTAGGCATATTAAACTCAATTGGCAAAAGAAAACTTAAAAAAGTAAACAACGCTTTTGGATGAAAAACTGTTAATAAAATTGAAATCACATTGTTAGTAATCTTACTAGTGTCAATTACTCGCTTTACAAAATTAAAGTTATACTCATTTTCCCAACCATCTTCCCAACCGATGTACAGTTTCAAAATTTCCCTCTCAGTTGCATACATCACATAAATAATGATAATGATATTATAATAATAATATAATAAAAGAAATTAAATAAAATAATATTTACAAATAAATACACTAAAAATAAAAGAATTAAGCAACTTATCTGAGATTAGTCGAATATCCACGAGGAAATAATCCACGAAACTTTGCTTTATAATCTTTATTGATATAGTAATAAAATTATAATACAAACAACTTAAATAGAATAATATTGACAAATAGATGCACTAGATAAAATCGGATTAATCAACTTATCTGAAATTAGTCAAATATCCAAGAGAAATTAATCCGCGAAACTTTGTTATTTATTCTATAAAATGTGTCTCGTTTGTTTTGTTTGTTTTCTTAAAATGCATCCGATAATCGTTGGGGACGTAACGATCAGAGTTTGCGTCACCGCTTTAAAATGTAAACAAGAATTTATGCAAAAAAAACTAAAAAAAATGTCGCTAAACATGCCAAGTTTGAAAACATATTTGATAACATAGCTAGAGGTACAGAAAATAATTTTTTGATTTTCTTATTCATATAAGGTTGAAGTATTACTAAATCCACAGACTTTTCAAAAATGTTATGTTTTTTATTCAAAACGAATAAAAACAAAAATATAAATGCATTAAAAACTAACTTTCTATATAAAAACTTGCAAAGTCTGTGGAAATCTAGATAGAACAGACATTCATTAATAACTGTTCTAAATTTCAACCATCGACCATGTAGCTATGTTATCAAATCTTAGTTGGCCTAAGACAGGTTTTGCGTAAAAATCGCAAAAATCAGAAAAGTGATGCCAAATTATTAACAATATTTTTACAGCTTTCATTTTTATTCCTTTTAATGTAAATGTTTATTTAACAAGGAAAGATAGATCTTTTATATTTTTTTTATTTGAAGATGAAAGCATTTATAGAAAAAAAATACTGTTATTTTAAATTTAATGAATTTTTATACTTTTTATGCGGAAATACTTTTTTTTTTGATAAACTCGTGACGTCAGGCTCGCATTTATATTGAGTGAAACAGCCGTGTTGAGTACCAGGTTGACATATTTTTAAAAAACTTTTTCTTTTCAAAATATTAGGGACCCATTAAATATTCAAGGGTCTTGGGGACCCCTTAAAGAATTTTTTATTCAAAAAAATTTTAAACCTAGTGTTTTTGCATTAGATAGAACACATTTAGGGGGTGGGAGCAGGTTTTTCTCAAAAAATTTGTTTTAAGGGCCACCCTAATACACACACACACACACATATATATATATATATATATATATATATATATATATATATATATATATATATATATATATATATATATATATATATATATATATATATCCTTATAGTGTAGTCGAAAGAGTCGTTTAATGTAAAAAATGTCTCTTTCGACCACAATTTTAATTACCTCGTCTCTTAAGCTGTTTTTGATTGTCATTGAAATGTCAAAGCAATTAATTTATGCGGAAGTACATTAAATTTAATTGTTTTTTAAAAAATTTTTAAAAAACCGCAATTATAACGACTAGAAAGTTTTTTTTAATTAGTGGTGTTTTTGTTATTGATTTAATAAAAAACATTTTTAAAACATGCGTAAATGTTGCTACATCGACTATCTTATAGCCTGACTCGCAACGGAGTGCTGCTACATCGACTGACAAATAGCCTGACTTGCAACGGAGTGCTGCTACATCGACTGACAAATAGCCTGACTCGCAACGAAGTGCTGCTACATCGACTGACAAATAGCCTGACTCGCAAGGGAATGCTGCTACATCGACTGAGGTTTGGTTTGGCCAGGCAGTCTATCAATTAAAAAAAAAAATTTAATTTTTAAAACTTTTTCTGGTCTGGTTTATTAACGCGCTCTTTAAAACTACAATTTATATATATATATACGATTATATGTATATGTATGTATGTATATATATATATATATATATATATATATATATATATATATATATATATATATATATATATATATATATATATATATATATACATATAATATATATATATATATATATATATATATATATATATATATATATATATATATATATATATATATATATATATATATATTATATGTATATAAATATATATATATATATATATATATATATATATATATATATATATATATATATATATATAAAATATGTATATATATATACCTTTTTATAAGATTTGTTTAAGCACATTGTGCTTGATCTGAAGATATTAGCTCTTCATGTTTTTGTTTATTTTAATCAAATTTAGCTTATAACATGGCTGCAGTAAATCAGAAATGGGAGGAATTAGGTAGAAGTTACTTTTTTTTTAAATTTTTAAAGTACTTATGACACTTAGACTAAGTTTTATAATCTATTTAATGCAAAGTTGAGATTATGAAATAAACAAGAAAGTTAGGTGTAAGTTCGAAGTCTTGATTAGTTAGTACAATTTCTGTTAAAATACCTGTGTTTTTTTTTCATTGTCCTTAAAAGACACCTTTTAGCTTACAACTGTGTAATTTGTATGCAGCCAAAAACATGATTCATTTTTTATAACTCAAAAGTTAAGTTAACTTAAGAGTTACAGTAATGTAAGCTTTTTATCCTAATTGTTTGTTGTGTTGTGTTACATGTTTGTCATTAAGTTATTACCAATATTGAGTAATACTACAAGTTTCTTTATGTAATTGTAGATCCACAGTCCACAATTGATAAAAAAAAAATCTTTTTTTTATTAATTACTTATTTTCTAAAGCAATTGAAAAAATTTAAGCATAATTATTTTTATATGTAGATAGTTCAATGAGAAGTAGACCAGTTTAATGAGAAGTAGACAAGTTTGACAGAATAGATTGTAAAACTGAGTTACATTAAGTATGAGTATTTATGGTTTTATTTAGGAAAGTTTCCAATTAATAGCTTAGGGACTGTCCATAAATTGCCTCAACAATTTTCTGGAAATTTTACATCCCCTCCCCCTCCCTCCCTCTTTCCCAACCCCCACCCCCCAACCCAACCCCCCTCCCCCTCCCTCCACACACACACGCAAAAGAAAAAAAAAAATCAAATTTAAATAGAAAAAATACAAAACAATGTTTTAAATAGACTAGGTTACAACTAAAACAAAAAAAGTGGTTAAAAGTAAATTGTTTTGAAGAGGAAAAAGTTTATTTAATCTTTAACTTATGAACATATTTTAAATAAATTACAAATATCATTTAAATTACAAATAAAATAACATTTAAGATTACTAACGCTCTAAACAAAAAGAGAATAAAAATAAAAAGCATAGAAAAAAAGTTTTAGTCTGCTGTACAAACAAAAAAAGATTTATGTAAGTATGTGGTCTAAATTATTTAAATGTTTATACCAGGGGTCAGCAACCTGCAGCTTACAAGCCTGGTGTGGTTTTTTTGATTTCAAGATGTGGCTCTTTAGTTCCATCAACAAATCTTAAAATAATATTGAAATAAAGAATTGGTAGATGGTTTGAAAAAAGATTGAAATAAAGTTGTTAGTAGCTCTTTAAAAATTCAGTTTTTAAAGAGTTACTAACTTCTTTATTTCAATATTTTTGCATGGAGCTAAAGAGTTGAAAAATAGAAAAAGATGTTCTAAATAATGAATTCAGGTATTTAATCAATAAGTAAATATTTAATTTAATTTTTTTCGTATAAATTTTGAAGCAAATAACCACTGGTTATTTTGTCTGATAAAATGCTTTGTTGCCTTTTTCAGTTAAGATTTAAGTGGCGTTTGGTTGGACTTCATGTACTGTTTATTTAAGATTCTTGATCAACACATTTTTGTAATTTTAATAAATAATAACATTCATATATAACAATATTAAATTTTTTTAATTTTAATCAACAAAGAGTTAATTTTTTTGCAGCCTTGTTTAAAATAATTTTTTTTATCAAGTATGTTATTATATATGTTGCTATAATGAATAAAATTAAATATATTAAAATATATATTTATAATATATTAAACAGAGTTTCTTATTTACATATAATAAATTTTACTTTAATGAAAAATCAGGTAACAAAAATTGTGAATCAATAACTATGTTGTTTGTATTTATATCATGATTATAAAATAAACATCAGTGAATTCAAAGTATTAGAGTTTTTGATTTTTCTTTTAGGTAAGTTTTTTTAACTATACCTAAGGAGCCAAATTTGCCAAAATTAGAATCACTTTAACATTATGATCAAGATGATAATCTCATGTTAGTCAAACATAGTTCACCACATAAGTGTTAAACTATGTTTGACTTTAAAATAAATAATATAAAATTAAAAGCAACTTAAAAAGTTAATCAGAAAAATATCTAGCTTAGAAAATAAAAAAATAGATACCAAGTGCAATAAACCTTTTAAGAAAAGAAAAGTATATAACAGTAAATAATTAAATGAAAAATAATAAGTTAAAAAAAAAATTTGTATAAAAATAATAAAAATGTTTATATAATTAATATAATTAGAAATTTCACAGTGAAGAAGAAATCTTACTAATCAAATATTTATACTAAAAATTTCTAAGGGATTAGAGAATCTTATGCCTCATGGTGTTTATCTTGGTATGAAGCTTGAAGCAATCCATCCTCATGATCCAACATCAATTTGTGTTGCATCAGTTTCACGTATATTTGATGAATATATGTTTCTAGTAAAGATTGATAACTTGATATCTGCCCAAGATGAAGTTATCGACTCTTTTGTTGCATACAAAGGGTCAAAAAAAGTTTTTCCAGTTGGTTTTTGCAGTAAAAACAATTTAAACCTTGTTCAACCATTAGGTAAGTTTAATAAAACTGTTTTTTACTTTCAAAATTTTCATATTGTATTTATACATAGTTAAATTTTTATTATATAAAGTTATTTTATTGTGTTTTCTTTCTTTGTTGTTTTACATGAATTGTATATTTGGAAGCAAAGTTGTGTTTGAAACTTGTCACTAGTTTAAGTTTCGAGTCAAAGAAAAAATTGGTATATGTAACTAATTATATAGCTTATATAATATATTTAGTTCTGTATTTTATACGAAATAATTTATGCATCTCTGTGTTGATATCCATATTACTTTAGGTAAAAAATATTGTTACCTAAAGTAATATGGATATAATAAGTATATATATATATATAAATAAAATATATATTTCAAAATATGAGATAGTAAAAAATGGTGTTTTGGAAAATACAATGCATCTTCTACAATATCTGGAATATGGAATATATATATATTACATATTCCAGAAATATATATATATATATATATATATATATATATATATATATATATATATATATATATATATATATATATATATATATATATATATATATATATATATATATATATATATATATATATATATATATATATATTCCTCAGAACATTTTATGCATAAATCAAAAACAATTATATGTAGCAAAAGGTTGAGTTTTAGATCTATTTTCTAATTTTAACTAATGGAGATGTCTCTGATAGATGAGATTTATCAGATGATGAAGAGTTTTTAGTCAATAAAAATGACAACACCATCATCATACTGCTGATGATGATGGTGTTAATGATGACAATGATGATGATGATGATCATGATCATGATGATGATCATGATCATGATGATGATGATGATGATAAAGATTATGATGATATACCGCTAGTTGTTTTTAAAAAAACAAAGTACCAATGGATAAAAAAAAGAATTCAGAAATCTTGAGAGTTCAAATGAACATCAGTTTAATGAGAGTTCAAATGAACATCAGTTTAATGAGAGTTCAAATGAACATCAGTTTAATGAGAGTTCAAATGATCATCAGTTTAAGGACCAAATAAAATGTTAGATAAAGATAAGCTGACCTCTTCAATATTTCAAAAGATTTTTAACTAATGAGTTATTGCAGTTAGTTGCTGAAAACAAAACAGTATACACAAAAATCAGGGAAGTGTATAAATATCACTCTTGAAGAAATTTCTATGTTTATTGGGATGCAAATGTTGATAGGGTTAGTTAAACTAACTGCCTGCAGTAGCTATTGGTCTAATTCTTTTCAATCTACTTTAATTGCTGACAATTTGTCAATAAACTAATATAAACTGTTGTGGCAAAATCTGATAAAAATAAACTGATATAGAGTCTGATAAGAGTTGTACAAAATTGCACCTGTTATTGAGTCAATCTGGAAACAATTCATTAATTTAGAATCTGAATGTTTCCATGCTACTGATAAACAAATTATACCTTCAAAAATTAAATACTTAAAGATATATAATCCAAAAGATAATCCAAAAAAGCAATATAATCTAAAAAAAACAACATGTAAATAGGGTTTTAAAAACATGGTTAGATCTGGATGGTCTGGAATGATGTACCATTTTTACCTTTACGCTAGAAAGAAAAATACAGTACCAACAGAGTATGGTTATTTATCTGCAAATGTTTAATCAGTGGCCTATTTGTGCAAGGAATTAACTAAACATGAAGATAAATTGTTTTTTTCAATAATTGATTTTCCACCCTTGGTTTGATCCAATACCTCAAATATATTGGAATATAAGCTGCAGGTACCATCAGACACAATTGTTTACCTGGGGCTTAATAATACCATCAAAAGAACTTAAGAAACAAGATAAATACAAGGTTCACTTGATTATCATATTTATAATTCTGCACTAATTGTAGCGAAACGGTTAGGTAACAGTATTTTTAATTTAGTATTCAACTCTTGGCATATCACTTATGAGTACCATATACCGCTGGTGCAGCAAAAAAAAAAAATTTACAGTAGATATTTCAAATGCTTGTATCCGTGCAAATGCAGATGAAAATATACAAGATTTTAATTAAAATCTTGTATATTTTCAAGGCAATCCAGGGTAGGGGAAGCTGGCTAAACTTAGCAGTATCAAGCAAGTTCAACAAAAGAATAGAAAGAAACCGGGCATACCAATCCCTATTGATTATATTAGATATGAACATATTGGATACTGGCCAAAACCACATAAAGATAAAAAAAATAATGCAGAATGTCATAGTTTTAGCCAAATGATGTAATGTTTTCCTTTGCTTGCTAGCCAAATACGACTGCAATGTAAATTTCCACAACTGAATAAAATTGCATTTAAAGTTTTTTTTAGTGCTTACCTATGTTAGAATAAGCATGCTTTTTAAACAAGACCTTTTTTGTTTGCTGTGTTTATATACATCTGTGTATATTTCAATGAAATGTTTTATAACTTTGTTTTCCCATATTATCTTAATTGATCAATGATGCCATATGGCAATAAACCCAAATTTGACTTAAATGACAAAATTTTGAATTTTTTTTTTCAACCATATATTTTGCTGATTCAAATTGGTATTATAACAAAAAATAATATTTTTTACAATAAATTATCATAATTTGGCCAGTAAAGGGTTCATTTATTAATAGAGAATAAACTCTGTGGTGATGAAATGAAATTGAAAACATTGAAACAAAAAGTAGTTAACTGTAAACATCATTTCTAAAAGTAATTAAACATAGAATTTAAAATATTATTAAAAGAAACGTTTTATAAGAATTTTATTAGCATTTTTTAAACATGTTTCATAAAACATTAAAAAGTCTCTACAGATGAGATCGTAGAAAGCTTAGAAATAAATTTATTTTATGCTGCTTAACTGGATAACTAATTGTGTGATAAATAACTGATCATGGAAATATTGTATTGAGTTGATTATATCAAGTATTTTACATAAATTTATATTAATATTAATTGTTTATATCATGTTTAAATTTCAGAAAAATATTTTACTTTCGTAAGTTACATTTAAGAATAGCTTCTTTCTTTTTTTTTTTAATTATATAATGAATTCATATTGTGATATCAACATGAGCTCAACAATGCTCGTGTTGATATCAGAGATATCAACATGAACATTCTTTATCTTAGATCTTAGATAACAAAAAGATGTTAGACAATAGCTGAATATAAGGTATTTTGTGAAAAAACACCTTACATTTTTTGTGAAAAGTGTCCAATTCAATTGACACTAAGCACTGTCAAGAAATTTTACAATTAAAAGTAATTGGTATGGATGGAAAAAAAGACAAAAATTCATTAGTTCATGCAACAAAATACAAGTGTAATGGAAGCCTGTATTGTATCAAATCACCAAAGACGAACATCATCTCACTTTTATTTGTGAAAATGATCCTTTTTCTGGTAATTATTTGACACATGTTATAATAGAAACTGGTAAAGATAGTACAATAGCTTCTGCAGCGTTAGATGTCCTAACTGAATATGATGGTGTTAAAAGTTTAGAAGCTTCTAGAAGCTTCTAGAAGCTTCTAAAAAGTCTAGAAGTTCTTGACAATACATGTTCTAACACTTGTGTGGATGTGTGGTTTAGTTATCTAACTAGAAAAGCTTTTGGAACGTAGTATTTATTTAGTAGGTTGTGTGAATAATGGTCTAACATATCTAACTAGAAAAGCTTTTGAAATGCAGTATTTATTTAGTAGGTTGTTTGCTTCACCAGTGTGAACTACTGCTTTGCTATGTTATATCTACTTAGATAGAAAAAATTAAAATCTTGTATATTTTCTTCAGAGTAATTTTAAAAATTTGTGTGTTATAAATGCGGTAGTGGTGTAGTGGTAGAGCGCTCGCTTCATAAGCGAGTGGTTCCGAGTTCGATCCCCACCACGTTCCTGGTAGTACCGCGCTCAACTTGTTTCTCCGCGCAGCGGCCTTGTTTGTCAAGGTTTGTGTTTCGGAGTTATAGAGTTGAGAGAGGGTTATAGCCACAAATAAGTACCCTCCTCGTCTGTAGTGGCCTTCTCGGCCTTGAGGAGGTGAATTGAAATAAAAAATAAAAAAAATAAAAATTGATCTTTTTTTTTCAATAATTGTAGTAAAAACATCCAAATTGGTGTTACTTTTATTATGAAGGCTATAAAAAAAGTTAAAGGGTTGTTAGAAATTTAAAAAAATAAAGAGTTCATTTAGAAGAAATAAGTTTTTAAACAAAAATCGTTGAAGTTAATTATATATGCCCCTGCGTATAGTAAAAAACCCTAACCTGAGTTGGCACGAACAGTGTTGTGATGTTGTTTGAGGTTGTTGTTTGATGAAGTCTTTGAACTCTCACTTTTTCAAACTAAGCTCCATTTTCAATGACCGGCCATAGGGTCCATTTTCGATGACTTAATAAATTTCATTGTTTAAGGAAAAAGGTTGTTATACACCTGTTTTTTACAACGCTTTTTACTTAACATGCAGGTTGGTGTTATTTTTTTTTAGTTTTTTACTTTCTTATTTTACCATAAATATCTGGATTTTCTCTTTACCATAAAAGTATCTAAAATTGTGACCTTTCATAAAGCTATTTGTTGTGTTAACATTTAAGCAATTCTAGTTTTTCTTGTTTTTTTTTTAACTACTAGAAACAAATATAACTTCTAACTTGTATAATAATAAATAGTTTAAATTGTAATAAAAAAACATCAATTGATTTTGAAAATTACTCCATCTTTATGCTTGTCTTTTTTCTTAACATTTTCATTTAAAACATTTAATATTGGTATTTATTGCTAAAAGACATTTGGATGAGAGATGAATGAAAACTGAACATTAGCTGCTAAAAAAAAATTAATTATGTGTTACTATGAGGGAACAAGTTGAATGCTTCTTCTCTTGCTCCTCAATTTTTTTTTTACACAACATTAGTTTTAAAGATAAAAACTAAGTTCAGAATAAAATGAGTTTTTTGATAATTTAAAAAGTTTATAAAAATTTATGAAAGGTTTTTTTTTTTTATTTATAAGGTTATAATGGAAAATTTACTTGGGAGGCGTATTTTAAATATTCAAAAGCAGCTCCAGTACCGTCAGATTTTTTTCTTGAGGTATATCATTATTATGGTTCGATTATTTTGTTTTATTAATTGATTTTATTAATTGTTGTTATTTATTTTTTTTAAGGAAAAACCATTACCAGATAGTATTAAAGTTGGAATGAAATTAGAAGCTGTTGATCAAAAAAATCTCTCTAATATTTGTGTATGCACCATATCAAAGATAGTAGGCACTTATCTATGGTTAAATATAGATGGTGACACACGTACCGATCAAATATTTAGCTATGATAGTCATGATATTTTCCCTGTTGGTTGGTGCGAAAGAACTGGGCATGAGTTGCAATGGCCGCGTCCCAACAGTAGGTTTTAGTTATAATTAAAAATACTTTTTTGAATTAATTTACACATGAGTGTACTAGACCAAGAAAAACAAATTTAGGCCTAGAGTATTGATATTAGAGAAGGAGGGGGGATTTACAACTAGAGTGTTCAAAAAGGAAAGAATGTTTTTAAAAAAGTCTTTTTAAAATATGTACTATTACTACTTTTTCAATATTTTTTTTGGAATTGTCTTGATTTATTTTGTATTCAATTTTAACAAAATCAATCAGTTGTTTACTTGCTTTTATATGTAAAAATATTTTTACTTGTTTGCTGTCAGCTTAATAAATCATTGTTTAAGTACTTTTCTCTTGGGTTTCAGGAGTTGTTGTTATGAATCGAAAATTTTAATTTTTATGAGCAACTGCAATAACAGAGTATAACATATTTTGTCTGATTGAAAAAGTAACTTTGTTAAAAACAAAAAATTTTAAATGCATTTTAATCTTTTATGTTTGCTGTCAAAAGTTTTTTTTTTTTTTAAACCGATTCACTTGCAACAAGGTTGCAAGCAACCACCATATAAGAGGAGTTTACAGAAAACAAAGAATATTGTTAAAGAGCATGAAAACAGTTGATAGAAGGCTTTAAAAACTATAACCTGTTTGAGTCTGGACACTATGAAGATAGGAAAATATAGATATATGAGTATGAATATAGACAATACTAAGATGGAGAGTTCCAAAGCATTGTGCGGTGTGTGAGGAAAGAGTTTAGTTAAATAAAAGTTTTTTGAGAATGAAAGAGCATTACAGTAAAATGATGCAATTTGACTGAATGGCGAGTCAAGCAAGAATGAGTTTTGGTTGACGGTACTACAGATGATAGTTCATTTGAGCAACAACCATGATAATATTTGTAGAAAAGAGAAAGAGAACCTTATCAAATGAGACAGTGGCTTAAGCTTAGTAGATTGAGCAGACACAACTACATTTAAATACATTTTTTGACCTTGTTTAAAAGAGAAAGAGCATCATTAGGAGCATCCTAATATGACAACAATATTTTATACAGGAATGAATGAGAGATTTGTAGAAAATGGAATCAGTAGAAAGAAAATGACAAGCATTATCAAGAAAAGCAACCTATAAAGTTTGTATGAGCGGTATGAAGTGAATGATAATCTGAAAAGATGCCAAGTAAAACTAGTTAGAGTGTGGCTATTCATCAATATCAATTACATGACAATAATTATTTGCTAACAACCGAGCTTTGTGGGTTTAAACAAATGGGTTTGAATTCACAAGCTACTACAAGACCCAAGTTGTCACAGAAAAGAAATCAGATTACAGACTGGAGTATTTAATAGTGTCATAAACAATTAGAGCCACCTTAGTGCTTATTTAGTAGGATGGTGATTTATGTTTAAATAAATGAAAAAGAACACAGAATAAGAATGAAATCTTGTAGTACTTTACAGGTAACTAAGAGCAACGGAGAATCAATGAATTACAACTTTAATGAGATTAGTAGAAACAATTCAAAAATTTTAGAAACACTTTTTTAGACTACACTATATGAAGAGATCTTATGGAAAAGACCAACATGCCAGGCTTTATTGAAGACCTTTGATATGTCAAGAGCATTAGCCTTTAACTCGCCACCTTCATCGATAGCACCTTTAGATAGAACCATGCACGATATAACCTTTCTGTTATAACAAGTCAGCTGTAGAAAAAGATGACTGAAGACTATTGATTGACATGCGGTAGTAGTGTAGTGGTAGAGCGCTTGCTTCATAAGCAAGAGGTTCTGAGTTCGATCCTCACCACATCCCTGGTAGTACCGCGCTCAAATTGTTTCTCTAATCAGGGAGAAACAAGTTGAGTGACGGTTATAACCACAGTTTGAGAAAGTGTTATCAGACTCAAAATGAGGTCTTTGGAGTTTATTCATTAAAGAATCAAAGATTTTTTTTAGAGAGAAGATTGGAGAATAATTAGAGAGGTCATAGTGTTCTCTGTGTTCTTTTAAAATTGGAACCACAGATGCTATTTTCCAGCAGGCAGAAAAACAAGAGTTAAACATAAATTAAAAAGTAAAGCATAAATTAAAAAAGCAAAGCATAAATTAAAGAGTTTAGAGACTATTAAAGAGAGTTTTAGAAAAAACTTTTGTAAGACTGTAACTATGACAGCAATGTTGCCTGGACCACAATTAGTAGAAGAGTTTAAAAGAGAATTAAGTTTAGCAATGAAAGCCAGAGTGATTTAGATTTCTAACAATAGATTAACCTGTTTTTCTGGAATTACAGGAAGATGGCCATCGCTCTTGACATTTCTAAAGTGTTTGATAAAGTTTGGCATGGTAGTCTTCTCCATAAGCTTTCTTCTTACGGTGTATCTGGAAACATCTTTAAGATTATTGAAGCCTTTCTTTTCAATTGTAGTATAAAAGTTGTCTTTGATGGACAGCACTCTTCTTTTTGTTCTGTAACCTTAGGGTTTCCTCAAGGTTCAATCCTTGGCCCTATACTCTTTTTAATTTACATTAATGATTTTCCAGATTTTCTCACATCTAAGGTGGCAATGTTCGCTGATGATACTACCATTTATTCTTGTCATGATAAGAAGCCAACTCTCTCTGATTGCTTGGAGGGGGTATTTGAGCTTGAAAAGGATCTCACTTCTGCTACAGCATGGGGCTCACAGTGGCTGGTTTAATTCAGATAAAACTCAATTTTTTTCAACCAATCGTTATCACAATAATTTAGATCTTCCTATTTTTATGAACAGTAATGTACTTGATGAGTCATCTACCCTTCATCTTCTAGGATTAACTCTTACTTCTGATCTTTCTTGGAAACCATATATTAAATCCATTACAAAATTAGCATCAGCTAAAGTTGCTTCTCTTTATCGAGCTCAACACTATTTTACTCTGGGATCTTTTCTCTATCTCTATAAATCTCAAATCCGACCTTGTATGGAATACTGTTGCCATATCTGTAGCGGATCTTCTAATGATGCCCTTTCTCTTTTAGACAAGGTGCAAAAACGCATTGTAAACATAGTTAGACCTGTTCTTGCAGCCAACTTTCAACCATTATCACATCGCCGTAATGTTGCTTCTCTTTTCTACAAATACTATAATGGGCACTGCTCTAAAGAGCTAGCGTCTCTTGTGCCATCTACTAAAATTCATTCTCGTGTTTCTCGTCATTCAATTAAGTCTCATCCTTTTTTTGTTACTGTTGGTAAGCAATCACAGAGTTCGGGAAACCTTACTACCAAAAACATTACCTTACCTCAGTACCATTAAACTGAGTTTTAGAGCTGTACCCTCATTAGGAAATAACAGGAAGAATTGCATAGCCACTATCAAGAGCCACATGCACAAACTTATGAGTAGAGTCAAGAAAATTCAACATTTATCATTCTAGGCAGAAAACACAGGTTTGCATCTATTCCAGTCTTATAAATAAAGGAAGGATGCAAGCTTGTTAACAGAATTTTTCTGCTTACCCATAAAGCCTTTACCTAGTAGCCCTCTGAAAAAACAGTAACTGGATGCGGTTAACATCTGCCGATAATAAGTAAATTTTATTTACATCTTATCTAGCTTTTACTTGATCAAAAGCCCTAAGTCATTAGGGTATTTTAAGCAAGTTTACTTCTCGTATCCTTTGTCTAGAACGTGAATCCTTCAAGGCAGTAGGACATAGGCAGGCAGGGCCAATTACAATATTTTTTAAAATAGTTTTTCAATTTCAAATTTTTTGAATTTAGTTATTTTATAACTATTATTCATAACATTTTAAATTTTTGTTAACAGAGTTACGTTACATTATTTTAATAATTAATACATATATACAATTTTTAGTTTGCAGTTTTTATAGTTTATATATATACAATTTTTATAGTTTGCAATTTTTATAGTTTGCAGATTTTTTAATATTAAAAAAAAAACGATTTTTATAGGAAAAAGAGATGCTTAAACTAATTTGTAAGAGAGCTTATAGGCTTTATTTTAATTTGTAATAAGGCCTAAACGCTTCTATTTAGTATTAATCAAAAAGTGTATAAAAATATTTTAATTAAAAAAAGTTGCTTCTCCTTCTAACAGATATATTATATTCATCGATAAATTTTAAGTTTCATAGTATAATCTTTCAGCGTTCATAAATTATAACCGTTTAAATTTTGTAACCCCCTTAAATTGAGGGGGGTTCAAACTAAGTAAGTTCATAATTATTAAACGCTGAGAGGTTTTACTATGAAACTTAAAATTTATCGATGAATATAAGTCTAGTTAAGAATAGCACCAAAAATACTTTATCAACTTGTTGCTCTCACGTTAGGGGAAGGAGGGGCAATTTTAGGGCTTTTTTGTTCCCAGCCTCCAATCATCGCAATTTTTCTGCAAAGCCTCATTATTTGACGCAAGTATAAAAATATAAATATTTGGAGTTTGCTCCATGTCTGGAAGTTACTTATCTCAAACAACAAAAAATTCTGTCTACGTTTCTACCTAATTCCTTTTTTAATTTACTATTAAAAATTTACATTAAAATTGGTCAAAAATAATGGTCCTGGCCTCGATAATTCAAATAATTTTGAAATGTTTTGTTTATACTGCTTACTGTTAATTTGATTATTTGCCATTACTATTTAGTTGTTAAATAAATGAATAACATTGCAATTATTTATAAATTGTCTTTTTTTTTTTTTTTTATGTCTTTATACTTTTTGAAACGTCAATGGAAATTTAAGATGCCTATCTTTTTTCTTTTTTTTACATAGTTTGGAATGTGCTGTAATCGATTACATTTTAATAAACAATCGATTTTGCATAGTTTGGAATGTGCTGTAATCGATTACATTTTAATAAACAATCGATTTTACATAGTTTGGAATGTGCTGTAATCAATTGTTTATTAAAATGGTACAATCCTTTTTTTTCTATTTTTTTAACGGTTTTTTTTTTTGTTTTAATCTTTTATGACATTTCTTATTAAAGCTCTTTTATAAAGACTATTGCAACTTCGTAGAGCTTGCTTGCTAAAACCTCAACCAAGAGGAATATCATTATTTAATTGTATTATGGTTTCCAGGTGACTTAATATTTTTCATTATGCATTGCTTTAAATGGAAGTCAAAGGATGCCTTCAATCAATTATTTGATGATAATTCTTATTGTAAGCTTTTACAATTATATTTTTGAAAATATACAAAAGAAATTCGTTTGTGCACAAAGTTTACTTTTCATCAAATATTTTATGACTACTGGGATAGCGAAATCCTAATAATTAAAAACCATTAGCTAAAACACTGGGAAAGTGTTTTAGCTACTGCAGTACCTTTATTTTCTCCCTCTCTTTTAAGAAATTAGTTCTTTGAATTTAAACAAACTGTGAACAAAGTGCTGTTTGTCAACTGCTGCGCAATTTCAAGCTAATCCTATTTATTTTCTGTTCTGTGACGTTTGTTTTTAATAGGGGAAGTAATTAGCACCGTTTGTTCAATTGCTTTTTTTTGTTGTTTATTTGTTTTTTATTGAAATTAGTCAAACGGCGTTTTGTTATACTAAATGTTACTTCTTGAATAAAAAAAATTTAAATTAGATTAACTTTATATTTTAATTGAATATTCATTTTATTTTTATAGTGTAATTTATTGTTTTACATCTCTTATTAAATAACGTTTGAATTAAAGCTCATAAAATTTGTCTGCTTTTAGCTTTGGAGCAAAAAAATCGCATTTCAAGTTTAAGGTACGGTTTTCACTTTTGTGTTTTAAAGCGCGCAGACGCATGCGTGTTCTATTTCTTTACTTAAGTTGATCGTTTAGATTTTTATTTATTTTATTCAAGCGAATTTAAATTTTTAATCTTAATGAAATATTGAGTTTAAAAAGCATATTTTTTATAAGGTATTATTAAAGAAATAATATGCTATTATTAAATATATAATACTTTATTTACAGATTTAAAATTATTGCTAAAACGCAATAGAAACGCGCACGCGCGCACATAAAATTTATGTTCGTTTGAGTAAAGATATTTCAAATAAAAATATTTTTGGATAAAACAGCATTATATATCGAAGTTAATAGAATAAAACATCTATAATTATATATTTATATGTTGATTTTTTTAATTTTTGTTATTTTATTATTTTATTTACATTGAATATGTAAATTGTTATATTGAGACCTAACTAACCTAATCTAAACAATGCCCAGATTCCGCGAAAATATTATATATGAACTCGTGCCTAGTTCAACCAACCCCTATTTCTCATTTTTCATTTAGCTTTTTATTGCGATAGCAATGTTTTACTTGATTTTTTATTTTCAACGTATTTTTAGGCTAACAGCAACACGACAAACGCGTTTAGAAGTATTGCGAAAAGGAAAATATAAAGCGAATGAAGGAAAGATAGACATTAAGAAAGATCAAAAAAAAGGAAAAACACAAAATTATTTAAAAGGAAAGCGAGGTTTTTCACGTAAACGCGAAAAGTATGACAGTGACGGAAATAAAAGTGAAATTGTCGATACATCAATTGCAATCGTGTGCATAAATCGACTTGCTGAAGAATATAATTCGGAAACAAGTATAAAAAAATATTTTCATCTTGACGCAGAAGGACGTCTGCCAGCTCAAATTGTAACAATAGACGATGAAGATGAAGATACTTTGATAACAAATGAAAAATGTTTTTCAACATATAATGAATCACATTTGGACTTCTTTAGTTATATTCGTCTTAAACCACATAATTTAAACAAAAAAGAAGAAGACGATTTTAATAGAAAAGTTAAAGAAAACGACGGTAACCAAGGAGCATCCATTGAGGAGAACTCGTCATTGCATGGTATGGACCGCCGTTCGTTAAGCAACGTTGTTGCTATGTTGCGTTCTAATAGACGTAGCAATCGATCACAATTAATAGAACAATATAAAAACAATTCCAAAAGCGATCATCAATCTACAAATCAAAATATTGAACATTCATCTATTGGTTCAAAAAAGTCAAGTGCGGTTGTTGAATCAATTGAAAAAAATGGTAGTGATGGTACCCGAGGAGACCCTATTGATTTGTCAAAAACTAATAATAAAAAAAACAGTCGTTCTCTTAGTTCTGTTGTTACGTTAACAAAAGAAAATTTTGATTGTTTGTTAAATGTGGAAGATGCAAATAAGGTTCCTGTACAAGTAGCTCAACAAAATACGAGTTTTCCATGTGTGTCGAGCACACCACGAACCAGTGTAGAAGACATGCATACGTTGTCTAATATGGCGCGTTCGCACTCTGGTGAGAATATAAGCTCGTTCTTTAATTTTTCTTATTAAAAATTTTTTTTAATTAAAAAAAAAAAATTTAATAAAAGGCGGTTTACTTTAAGACATTTTTTTAATTCGCTGGCAGGTTTAAGTGAAATTTTGCGAAATCGTTGCAACAAAATTCGAAAGATGTGCAAAGATTTGCCTAGCAATCCTTTGATATGGACAAAGAACGAAGTTGTACAATTTATTAAGAATGCTTCTTTTCAAAAATACGCTAACCTCTTTTATCAACAAGTAAGAGATACTGTTTTAATTTTATTATTAAATGTCTTTTATATAATAATACTATTAGGGTTACACGTATTTTAGGATGTGGACGGTCACTCACTTTTGCTACTCACTGTACAAGAAATCCACCACATTCTTGGAATCCAACTTGGGCCGGCGGTGAAAATTCACGATTATATTTTTACGTTGCAAGAGCTTGTGAATGACGCATATCTGAGTAGTAAGAACACGAAATCGATAAATTCTACAAAAAACTAATGTTTTTTTATCGCTTGTTATATATATATATATTTTTTTTTTCTTTGTAAAAAAAGTGATGCAAACTATTAAATCGAGTTTTTCTCTTTTTTTTTTTTTTTTTTTTTTTTTTTTTTTTTTTTTTTTTTTTTTCTTCTTTTTACTGTCGCTTCATTATTGATCGACTGAATTTCCTACTGTAGTTTAGTTTTCGTTTCTTTTTAAACGCAACTGGTACGCATTGGTTGCAAATACATATTTTATCCTCGAGCTCGACTGTAAAAATGTTTAATCCTCTTTTTTTTTTCTAATGATGTCATCCTAAGATTTTTTTCTAATGATGTCATCCTCCTTGTGACATCATCTTAAATTTTTTGGTCTATTTAGATGAGTCACAAGGAGGCGCTACTATGACGAACGTCGAAAATTCTTCAATAGTTTTGAATCAAGGTAAGTTATTTTTAACAGTTGAAGTAAATGTAAAAGATAATGATATCTTGTTTGTTTTTCTTTAAGTTTTTTTAATAGTGCTGGTCTTTTCACTGACTTTACTATTAGGCGCGTAGCTTGATGGAATTAAGGAATGATTTTTGCTTTAAAAAAAATAATAACTTACTTTACAATTCAAAGCTGTGCAATGTATTTCAATAATATTTTTTCTCAATAACTAGAAAAATGCTTATATAAATTTTTTTTTTGATAATTTTTTGATAATTTATATAAGCAGAGGAACCACAACAAAGATTATTTACTGATAAGAAGGAGCTTAAAGCTAAAGAAAGATAAGTCTTTTTACTAATCTAATATCGTTTTATTTATTGTTTTCAGATCGAGGAGTTCAAAAAATGTCACTTTCTATCGCTGAAGCGTATTCACCTCACATTCAAGTTATTCGTTGGTTAAATAAAAACGGCAAAGAATTAACAAACCCTTTAGCTCCTGACGCTGATGAAGATACTAACACCATAACCAGTAATAATTTATTAACTAATTTACCTACGAGAGTACAGGAGTATCCTAAATAAAGATTTGTATATTTCAAAACCAAGATTTATACAAATGAAAGATATAAATTGTGGGGAAGCTAGATATCCTTTTGGATCAAATGTGTGTTTACCTCAATCATTGCATTTAGTTTCCAAATTTTTAAATGATTCAACAATTGTGAATAAATATACTCCGGAAAATTTTAAAAAATAACTCTGACCCTGTTTTTCTTTACAGATCAGATCATAACGGAATGAACGCTGCGCAAATATATATGGAAGATTATAATTTTGAGCCAGTTCGTTACTGCAACAAAGTTCGAATGTCTTATTCAATGAATTCTGCCTCATGCTCTCAGAGAAAAATAATAAATAATATCCAAAAAGAAGATATAGCGAGTGTCAAGCGTATATCACCGAATCTAGAAACACGTTTTTCAAAATCGTCAAAGTATCAAAAAACAATCAAACAAGAGCATTCTAAAAACGTATATATTAATGTACCGATATATATAATGTACCATATATTAATGCATTTAAAGCGTCACTTTGAATACAACCTATCTAAAAACGATTTCAATGATGAACCTATGTCAAA